GGTGCTGCGAGTCCGTGAATTAGTTGAAGCTAAACATTATCACCGTCGGATGCCGGCTGGCTCAGTGGTTTAAAGGGTAATCGCTTGCTCCCGAGACCGGTGGGTCCTGGGTTCGAATCTTGCGGGGGGCAGGATTGTGGTTACGCAAAGCTGAGGGGTCCCATACTAGGACGAAACGTCCGTCCAGTGCTTCCAAATTTTCCGTGATGGTCTGGCCTCAATTGACTCATGATTTCAACTATTGAAATTAATAAATTCTTCGCAAACCCCCTTCTGATAATAATTAATATGAATGGAGAACATTCTTTACAATAATTTCTCATCAGGTTCTACAATTATCTCATATCCAAATTAATAATCCATAAACTTTGCCAGATTTAAAGCCGAGTATATCATTTAAAACTGTTGTATGTGAATCAAGAATTGTTGTTTGTCATATCAAATCAAATCAATTCGGTAATGTCGGGGTTAACTAATATGATGTGTTAACTTATATCAGTTTATAAGTGAAATGAAATTGTGAGATAGATAATGTCTAAATTAAATGTAATTAACATGAGGAGAGGGAGAGAACCTGACCCAATTCATATTATTCTACATATTACGCAAATTCGGATTTTTATTCCATTATTCACTCTCTCTCATCCCATGTTGACCATACTTATTCTGATCATTATTTACCTCACAATTACATTTCCCTTATAAACTGATTGGGGTTAAATTCACTCGATGTCGTTTTACTTGTATCTTCCTATTGTTATTTAGGACTACAATTGACCACTCTCATGTTGCCATATTATTATTATTAGCTTTATTCAATATTATATTTTTGGTGCAATACAGAGTCCTCTGCACAATGTATCTCAATAAGTTTCCTCTTCTTAATTCTTGGTTGATCCTGACAATAAATATTTAGTGGTCTCCAGTTAAAAGTTAGCAGTCCAGTCAATCGACATCTAAATAATATACATTCATTTGAGGCATATTGCCATTAACCACGACATTATTGATTGAGCACTTTTTAACCTGCACAACGAAAGGTTTTATACATTTCAGAAAAGCACCTCAATAAGTTATATCAATAGTAACCATAATGATGTATCAAAACAAACAAAATTAGATAACTTGTTGAAATATCTAGATGACAGAAATAAATAACCCAGATGTTCAAGCAGGCTGCATCATGTACGCATTGTCTTGATATAGCCTTCGATTACAAGCTTTTTAACATTTCATATTAGTCAACCCCAATATTAACACTTTTAAAATTGGAAAAGAAATATCATCGATTTGTTTACACTTCTTGTTTCCCAGTTCAAATAGAACAATTATGAATATGTTCAAGTAATAAATAACCATTTATTCCTTTTATTGAAATAACCATTATATATCTTCTTCTTCTTCTTCTTCTTTGTAGTTTCTTTTTCTTGATAAAAAAATAATCTTTTTGCTCTAAACTTTCAATTATTAAATCAATAATATTCATTCAACCAAAAATCATTTAAACTTGATGAGTAAAATTTTTTTTAAAAAAAGAGAAAACAAAAATTTTCATTGAAAAATCAAATAAATAAATGAATCTTTATTTTTTTAATGGATTCATTTAAATGAATAATTTTTATTGAATAAATGAAATAAATATTTGGATATTTATATGAGAATGAATGATTGAATGAATAATAGTTTCTTTATGGAAAGAAAAAAATATTAATCGTAAAAATAAAGATTTTAAAACGACTAATAAATATAATCGGCGAGACTATAAATTATGAACGAGCCAATCAGAAGCGTTTCAGAAATTTCAAGGTCACGGCACCAAATTCAGTTCCTAATGCTAACGTACAATTGGTTCATAAGGGATTTTATACAAAATGTGATAATTGAGCGTTGATAACAAATAAAATGGCGAGACTATAATTTGTGGACGAATCAATCAGGTAGAAGATAACAGATCTCAGATTTTGGCGTGAAAGTCTTTCATCCATTTGATTAAGTAGATTTCTGGCATTATAGCTGATATCAGTTCGTGATGAAAACCCAATATATAATTCGTAACTAAGGCGAAGTGTGACAATTATTGCGAAGTGGATAATTAAAGCACCTGTAACACTAGCTGGAGCCATGTACTACAATATATACGGATGATTGGAGAGCGTACAGAATCCTACATGGGCTTTGTCATGTGCATTGTTTCGTTATCCACAAGTGGCATTTTGTGTACTCAACAACTGGAGTGCATACAAACGATATTGAAGCTATGTGGTCAAGGCTGAAAGAGTTTTTGCAACCATATCATGGCTCCAGAGACCGACTATTGTGTAGCCATATGGATGATTTACTCAACTGTGTGAATTACGATTTTAGAACTTCTGAAGTTTTTGAACCATGTATCAGAAGTGTATCCAGTTTATTTCTTTGATTTTGTATAATGTATTTTTACTCTATACTTACTGTTTGCTGATTGGCCAATATTTTTCAAGGTCACTTAAGATTCGTTCAAAGATCGGCCATAAATTATAATCTCTCCATGCTTTCTTTGTGAACTTTTTTATTTTTTTTAGTTTTATTTTTCAGGTGACTGATAATGTTAATTAGTTGGTTCAGTTCAATAAAACTCTTTGTAGAAGAAGAGATTCAAACTAAATCCTTTTTTTCTTTAAATTACTTAATAAACTATACTTCAAATTTAATCAAGTAATTCAATACGAAGAAATTTCTTAATAAGACATTCGTAACTCTTTGTCAATAATGAAACATACTCATTGTAAATCATCTCTTTACATGAATAAATTCCTAGACTATGGAATAATCTAACACAATTCATCAGTACGATAAAATCACTCTCATTCTTTGTTCGCTGCATTGATGCATACCGCTCCTCTGAAAATGCATTAAATGTTCTAATACATGTATGTGTATCTTATTCCACGAGTGAAATTTCTAGTCATTATTATTAATGAATTCCTAACTAAAATCACCTACATGTTGTGACTTTAGGTTAAAACTGACCCTAGCAACCCTAACTAATTTGAATAATATCTAACATTAACAGTATATCACTATAATATATGACAAATGCATTACGATAGACCTGATTGACATATTTTGGTATTTATTGCTTTGTTATTCCGTGCTCTCTGATTTCGTTTTATTTTCTCTAGTTGTAGATAACTATCAATATTTCGTTCTGGTACATGAAATAATCTTAAATATACCGTTTATAAATCAACAGGCTATCTACTTAAGGAAAATTAGAAGTTCCTGGCGGATGCACTGGATTGCTGCAACTTATTTACTGCCTAAACAATCACTGAACTAGTATACTTAAAACTATCCTATACCACATTGTTTGTTCTCTACATCTAATGTTACTATTTATATCAAATTGATCATGCCTGTAAACTGGCGTGAATTTTGTGGATACTCTTAAGAAAATTCAGTTTTAATCATCATTGAAATAGCTGATTCTAGTTTCATGGAAACATGAAAAGTAGTCAAATGTCTTTCATTTAGAAGAATTTCTATATATTATTTGAATAGTGAAGTACGATTTTTCTAATAATATAAACTCACTGTTTGAAACTTTATTCATTGTCATTCAAAAATATATACTTTACTAGTACCAGTGTGTGAATACCCATGACTTATTTAAAGTAAGAACAGATACTAAAATCTGCATGATAAACATGCTGGTTAAGTGATCATTTAATTTCGGTATGGTAGATTTGTGGAGATTGTTCATTTAGAAGACAGGTTGTATTATATTCTGAGTTTAACTAGATAACTACTGAAAATATGATGTCTTTTGACAACTATTTTCTTATCACTAGTAAAGACGCACTTGCTATCCAGTTGATCCATACGAAATTAGGGGTTTAAAACTAATGTTCAAACCGAGTTTTAAAAAAATCTAGGATTCAGTTATTGTCTGTGATCTCAGTTATTTTCAAAATTTATTTAAATGATGTATCAGTTAGACAACAAACTTAAAAATAAGGCATTACTGCATACAAAAATGATGAATAAATAGAAGAAAATGTCAATGAAATACACGATTTCGATTAGACATAAATAAATATGGAATGTGAAAAAAACTGAAGAATTAGTTCACAATATTTGATTCTTATGCAACTGGCACTGTCATCTTTTCCTGATTTCAATAGCACTTAACGTCAACCTGACGACTGACCAGTGCTGACGGCCAAATCATACAGTTGGTCATTTTTGCTAAAATAGCGTAGTGGATTCATGTTTCACAGGTTGAAATATTTAAAGTATATCTAAATCACTACTTACATCAAACCTTAATATTGGAATTATTACAGACCATACTGTGATCTAGTACTGATCAATATCTTAGTTTTTAAGGGAAATCTTTAATTTAATTTTCAAAAGGACATAGACATTATTTTTCCGAGAAAAATAAACCAACATCTCAAATGAACTTCGGATTCTTAAAATGAATATCATACACTAATAAAATATCTCTTTATTATTTATAAAATGATTGTACGTGTAAAGCTAAAATCTAAATAGATACCAGTATGGTAAAGTGACAATAATGAAAGTAACCTATGATATGATTGAAGACTTGTTGATATAGTTCAGCAAAGAAAATTTTCTTTCCGATATCATTCACTCAAGCTGTACCATCACATTTGTGGTTAATTTATACATAAAATAGTCGACTGAAAATTAAGACGACGATTATATCATATTATGTATCGAAGAAAGTAGCTTTATAATAAGAAGGTAGATCAACAATGTGAAAGTTAAACTATATGCGTCCATGAATGGATATCAGCAATGAGATGTAAGGATATCCTGGTGACTAGTTCTGTATAATATAAAATGAGCCTTCTGGACTGCAATGCCAGCCATCATTTTTTGTAGGATTCTAAGACATTCATTGCAATTTAAAACCTTCAAGTTTTAAAAAACCATAAAACATAGTCGAGCTACTGTAATATACAGTAATGTATTACTTTGCAACTAGTGTTTCACGGTACAATCGACTGTTTAAAAACTTCATTAATAAGTAGAGAAATGAATTACTTCAGTCTGAAATATTCTGTTGTACGGTACATTTCAAAAAGTCTCTGGAGCAGCTTAAAATTTCACATCAGTCATAGACTACTTAAAATGTTAATGTGCTTATATATTTTCTATGTTTATTCGACTGTACACTTTGTTTTTAATTTTGATGACAACACAAGTAATGAAGTAAAAAATATAAAGATATATTTTTACTATACAAATTAAAGAAAACTTCATTAGATTTTTAATAGATTCGCTTAATTTCACTTCATTTATTCTTTTCTTTATTCGGTTTGTTCTTTGCAAAGGTTTTTCGACTGATAAATTTTAAACTTAATAATCGTAATAATGAATAAAAACAGCTATGAAACAACATAAAGAAAGGAGGATATGTAAATGAGAAACGAAAATAATAGCCACAGGGTATGACAATCAGCAAAGAATGGGTATGTGTGTGTGTGTGTAAAGAAACTGAAGACAATCACAACAACATTTATGATAATGGTGATGTGTCAATAACAAATAACTACAAACAAACAGTTACGGTGACGAATAAAACAACGATAAATAGAAGTTAAGACGAACACTTGATGATGTATTAATGTAGAATTCTCACTTATTTACACGATAGAAACATTAAAGATACATTAGTTAAACAATAATTCATTTCTAAATTATAAAAAATAGATTGAGGGATCATTTTAAATAAGAAATAATATCAGTAGTATAATCATCATTGTGTTCGAATAGAACAAATCTTCATGAGATGAGTCTAATTTCAGTTAAGTAAAACTAAAACCAAAGATATATATATATATATATATGTATAATACCCAAATAAACACTAAAACAAATATACTGATACACTTTTCTTAATAGATGATCATTACTAATCGAACACTTATTACTTACTATACTTCTATCACCAAGTCCATTATTATTTTGATGTAAAACTCAATTAAAAGTTACAAATATACAAGACTTTTATTCCTTCAAAATAAATCATTAAAACTTAAATAATGATAATAATGATATTGACAAATTCCATTAAGAGATTTCTTCATTCATTTACTTTTCATTAGTTTTCATTTAATTTGTGAGATTTGCAACAACAAAAGGAAAGAAAATTGATAGATAATTGTTATGAAATAATTTATACTTATGAATGAGAATAAGAAATAAAGTTGAATACATTGAAAATGAATACTTTGAATATATAACATTAGTACAACTTCTATAAGGAAACAAACTGATCAAACTATTCTGATGAAAGACACATATAAAATGAAGAGAAACCAAATGAGCATGGAGGGAGAGAGAGTGACAGAAAGAGAAATATTGAACAGTCAAAATGATCTGTTTATTTTTCCAGTTTTAAATTCAAGCTGATCTAAAAATCATAATCAATCAGCCTGAACAATAATTAAGAAAAGATTTACTTTAATAAACTGACATTATTGAATTAAAATTTCTTTTGAAATAAACAAAAGCATTAGTTAAAAGCACTGAATATCAGTAGTATTAGTATTAGTAGTAGTAGTAGTACCCACAAAAATACAAATAATCACTATAGTTATATATTATAATGAAAGCAAAAGAAAAAAATCGTGTAACTATTCAAGAAAGAATGATAGTAGAAAATAAGGAAATATACATTTTTTTAAAAAAATTACTGTTATGACGTTGATGATGGAGAAATGACAGCGTTAAATGTATTGACATTTGTTGCCACTGTTGGATCAGCCGTAGATGAATCTGCTATATCCACACGTTTATCAGATTCATATGATTTTAAACGTAGACGAGCGAAATCTTCAAAAATCAAATCATCGTCATCATCAACACCGCCACCAACACTACTGACTAAATATGCTTTACTGTTTTTGTAATGATTCGTTGTTTTGAAAAAAAAGAATAGTAAAGAGAAATGAATAGATTAGTTTAAAGAAAAGTCGGTTTTTTCACACGGTATTTATTAAAATCATGAATTCTCACAATAGATATGGTTTTATGTTAATTACTCTTTACAAACTAAAATATGAAAACATTTGTACACGCACATTCTGATTGATCTAATAATATCCAAGTTAAATATCTTGTCAGCGAGAAATATAAATCTGGCGACTGAAAAGTGCTTACGGTGTTCTGTTTTCGTCATTCAGGCAAGTAAGTTACTTGTTAGAGGCAATTCGCAGTTAGGAGAGGAATACAGGACATGGGTTTAATCGAGTTTACGATTGAAAACCAATGCGTACCGAAATTTCACTGCGCTTACATCTAGTAACCATCATTTTAAATGCCAACCTATCGTTTAAATTGCCTACCGAGTTCAAATAGCTAATAAATTGTTGAAAAGGCATATATAAATTTCTCATTATTTATTATTTCCAACCGTTAGTAATAAAGACCTGAAATGTTTAGTCTGTGTTGGGATACGTGTATCGTGGTAAAATAACCTAGAGATGTTTATGTTACGATTTAGTAAATAAAAATATTGGCACACATTCTGATTTATTCTACAGTACTAAACAGATTGAATATCTGAATAAATGCTAAAAAAAAAGTAGATTAATAACTTATGGATTGATTACGGTTAGCCAATAAAAAGCCATCAAAATTTAAGTTCTGTTAGCCAATATTCAACAGAAAATCGTATCTCTCATTATCAGTAACCAAATGACCATTATACGACTCTAACATATATCATACATTGCCGGAGATGTTACTATAGAGATTTACAGGCTACGGACGACAACTAGCACGAATTTCGGTATTAGAGCAATCGTAACAAAAGAATCAACAAAATAATTTGAATGAATAGCCTTAAAGCATAAGAATATCAGATTACCATTAATTTACAACTATTAGGCCCTTTTATCTTATATAAAGTGATATTATTATCAGAATATCACAGTAATGTCTAGTCCACACGATTGCTTAAATAAATACTGTTAAGCTTCATGATATTTGTTGTTTTCCTAGAGTTATATTACATACAAGTTTGAAAAAAGGTATACTACAACTTCACATCATCTGGGCTTAGAAATGTATGGAGTTATGAAATATCAGTATCTCGAAGACAAAAAAGAAACATTTAGCATAATAATCCTTATTGTGCGATAGGCGCGCATGTTTGCTACCAGATTATAACATTTTTGATCAATAATCCATCTATTCTCTTCTTTTTAATGTACACTTGCAGACATACATGCAGAGATCCAGACAATTCAAATACATATTCACACTCACATACATAAAATACCTATCCTGTAAATAGTACGCTAGCTAACTACAAATAAAATGATGATTAATTCATTTCAACTATATTTTCAAGAAATATATATAATGTCAAGCATAGTTGTTCAAGTGAAAAAGGTAAAACACTTTATTGAAATCAATCGTAGATATATAACACATTCGAAAACCAAAGGGAATATTAATGTGTAAATATTAAATTCCATGTTGTTATTGTGTTTTTTTAGAGAGAGAAGATTTTTTCTAACACCTTCCATCCTGGGTTCAAGTCCCAGGAGGCGGGATCGTGGATGCGCACTGCTGAGGAGTCCCACAATAGGACGGAACGGTCGTCCAGTGCTTCAAGGTTTTCCATGGTGGTCTAACATCAATTAACTCATGATCTCAACAATTGAAAACTAAGAATATTAAAAAGATGCTCTCAGCTCTAAGTTTTCTTAAGAAAAACTCTTGTTCAAATATGATTAATCAACATGAAGTGAGGGAATAAATATTATTAACCAGATTGAATCAATAAATTTACAGTTGATTTAATTACAAGATATTGAAGTCATATTATGTATTTTATAGATAATCAAACTATTATATTCAACTACAAATAAATACCTCATAGTATTCATTCACTCAATTATCATGTGTTTATTGTACATTTGAACTAAAACAAATATAACACACAAATGCAAATAATCACTAGTTTTATCAATAACTACAATACCACGTGGTTATAAAGTGTGACTTTTTAGTCTTGTTGTGATAAACTATTGATTAATATAATATGATCTAACCTATGTAGAAAGAAATATACCATGAATTATAAGATTGTGTAATATGATTACTTCGACTATTTAATTGTAGATTTATATTTTTAAAGAAGAAAAAAATCAAACATATTTTCAATCCTTTTTATTCGTTGGACATAATTCTAATGATTAATGATGCTGAGGGGTCCAACAATAGGACGAAACGGCTGTCCAGTGCTTCCAGGTTTTCCAGGGTGGTCTAGCTTCAACTGACTCATGATCTCAACCATTGAAATTACTATAATATCAACAATACCCCTTCTGAGATTGATAATGTGTTGGTTTTTTTTCAAGACAAATATTACATTATTCTATAGTTGCTTTAAATAATAATCCAACTATTTAAATGTTTAAAACCCCTAATAAATCATTGTATTATAGATAAACTATATTAATAAGAAATCAGTTTTAATATCAGTATTATTTCTGTTTAATATGAAAATAGTTTTCATCATAGATAATACCAACAGCTAATAGATTATTGGAAATCAAAGAACATTGGATAGTTAGGGTTTGTTTTAGTATATTATGTTATATACGATGCAACGAATTCTTAGTACAATAAAGTACCGAAATGTATATCAAATCAAATTTAATAGTCTATTCGTTACTATTATATTAATTGATTAGTTTTGATCAAGAAAAATAATAGATGTATTTATGATTATATTAAATAGTCTTGTTATTTTATGATTGTTGAATAAAATGTTTAACCTATGTTTATTAATCTGTAACTATAATCAAAATATTTTGGTTACTAATGTATCCAACTCACTTGTCATTTATTCCATCATCCAATTTAATTAAATCATCTGTAATATTTACATTACGATCAGATGAACTTTGTTCGTTTGAATAAAACTGGGATTGTTGCAAGATATGCTGATTATGTTTTAGTCTATCATCAGATCCAGATAACAAAGGATGAAGAATATCATTATCATCATCAATAACTAGTTTTGATGAAGTACCATTGACATCTGAATCAGGTTTTGGATGAGTTAGTGTGAATGGAAGTTCCACGCTGACATCACTAAGAAAAACAGTTGGAAAAATTATAAACAGAAATTAAGTCGACGTATTAATAATATCAGAAGGGGTTTTTGTGGATATTAAAGTAATTTCAGTAATTAAGATTATGAGTCAATTGAAGCTAGACCACCATGGAAAATTTGGAAGCACAGGACAACCGTTCTCGTCCTACTGTGCGCATCCACGATTCCACCTCACGAGATTCAAACCTAGGATTTATAGTTCTCGCCCACGAACACTTAACCTCTAGACCACTGAGCGGCCGGCACCCAACGGTGTTAATGTCTAACTTCAACTAATCCGTGAAATCGAGCGACACATTCACCATTTTCATCAGTGAGTTCCTATCTCACAAGAGACCCGGTTGAACTCCAGTGGTCATTGCTTCTCACTAGAACTCCAGGAAATACCTCTTGAAGCCAGTCAATAATGAGCATATACTAAAGAGTCCCATAATAGGACGAAACAGCCACTCAGTGTTTCCAGGTTTTCCATGGTGGTCTGGTTTTAATTGATTCATGGTTTCAACTACTTAAATAACAATAATATCTAGGTCACAACTGAATTAGAGAGAACTATCTTCAAACTATTTAGTCATATGCTATTGGTGTTTCTACCTTCAATAAATAACTAAAGCTATTTTTCTACTCAATATCAGCAAGATACAAAATGCCAATCCTTATTTGTTTAAATGAAAACAATACATTTGCATTCAATACTTGTAATGGTAACATGAATTTTGACAGTCAGTGGTTGAAAACGTTTTTTGTGTGTCTAAATAATGCAACCCCATATTGCATTATTCATAAACTTTCGTAATCATAACATTTTTTTGACTTTTAATGTCTTTTCAATGCAGTATTTAAGGTAGAATTTTAACTAGAGTATTTCTCAAACAAGGATCACAGATATTCATAAATAACATTTTTTTTCTATAAAAAATACCGTCACATTTTATTTAAATATTAGATTAGTGACAATGTTGTCTTAAATAAGGATAAATGAAATTCAAAGCATTATGTTTCTTCTTATAACACCATGCAAAAAGGTAAAAAAAAATACAAGTGAAATGTTGAGACGAATGTTAATAACATCTCAAATAAACAAAATATTTCGATATATAAGTAGTATATCAGTTAGTGAAGAATCAAATGTAACAACACACTCGGGTTGACAGGTGCAGACTTCATAGTTTAAGCCCTTGTTATTATTTCAATCGATGGTTGACAATAATGTGTGAAATTGTTATGAATAGGTCGTAATGTTGATTTTATCTTCCATGATATACAGAATTTCAGTACTATGTTGCATATTTATATCACAACTTATTTCTCAAAACTTTTATATCACCAGTATTACTGTCAATACTTACAATAATTATATGATGTGGTAACTTAAAGCGTTTCACATATGTGCCATTTTCTACGTTGCGTATGACTAATTGTAGTGAACAGAACATCCATATGAAGTAAATATATGAAAAACGAACACGTAAGTACTGAATGCAAATAATTTTAAGTTACATGAACAACACAAACTTTTACTTAGTAAATGGAAACTATTCTGTATTTACAGTTATGGCAGCTAACTACGAAGCTTACAAAATAACCTGTTCAAACAATTAACTTCAACTTACCACGGAATATATCAAGTACAAAAAGCCATGTATAATTATCGAATAAGTTACGTAAATAGAGACTATTCGTTTCTATAATTTATCGCCCCCGAATGCCCTGGTACGGCCGAGAGTGGGGTGAGTCCGCTCTCCCTCTCGAAATACTCTCACACGGCCACGCGTATACAGCCTCTGCCAAGGAAGTCCTACTCATTGCCTTCTCGTGGCGGGGGTGTTGTTTACGAAAATGAGAGGACGAAAAGCAAATGTCCGGCGCTTTAACCGGATCACAAATCAATGGTGCACATGGGCTCCAGTATCCTGCGGGAACAAATGGCGTATGAACCAATCGTTGGTCACCGGCTACCATGGGATTGCATCTCCTTACGATGCTCCACTGCCTTGTGGATCAGAATTTCAGGTCAAAGGCTCGGGGAGTGGCCCCCTAAGATTACCACCTGCTTCGGTTCGGGCACCCGGGCAGTATCACAGCCCACACACAAATTGATGAACTCTCTATGCCTATGGAAATTACTTTTCTCGCTTCGAAAAACAATCGATTGATTCAAATTATTATCATTACAATTATTGTCATTATTAATACTATCATTATTATTACTACTATTATTGTCATTATTGTTATTATTATCATTATTATTATTATTTTCCACATTATTCACCCTCTTTTATACTTATACAGCGGCTCGTCTTTGGTGAAAATTCGACTGTATCTAAATGTTCTCGAGTCACTGTCCGGTTGAAAATTGTATGTTACCACCGAATACGAGGACTGAAGCAGTTTTTTTTGAAACCACGTGCACCATTCAAACTAGCTGCCTTCAACGTTCGCACATTTATGCAGGTCGGACAACAGATAGGGCTGGCTATGTCTTTGGAATGTCTTAATATTGATGTTTGTTGTCTATCCGAGACCCGTATTCAAGACTCTGGCGAAGTACTACAAATTCGATCTCCATCTGTCGCTTCGAAAAGCTTGTTTTACGTGCGTTTATCCGGGGACCCTGTGGCATCTTCGTCTGGTCTTGCTGGCGTTGGTGTCGCACTAAGCGCTAGAGCTGAGGCAGCGCTAGTCGATTGGATCCCCATTAACAGTCGGTTATGTGCTGTTAGATTAGAAAGTTCTATCAAAGTGAGAAGAAATCGGCGTGAGAAACGATGTCTTTTCGTCATCTCCACCTATGTCCCGACAGATTGCAGCTCGGATGCAATCAACGGTGAGTTTTACCACCAGTTATCTGTTCTTCTCCAGAAAGTGCGTTCGACAGATATTGTGGTACTAGCCGGAGACTTGAATGCTCAGGTCGGGCGTCTAGGCACAGAAGAGAGTCGTTTAGGTGGCCGATGGGGACTCGTTGGTCGCAGGTCAGATAACGGGGACGGGGACCGTCTACTGCAACTGTGCACAGACCACAACCTGTTTCTGGCTAGCACTAACTTTCGGCACAGTCATCGCCGATGTGCCACCTGGCGTCCTCCCTCTGCACATCAAGCCTGGACACAGATTGATCACATCGCGATCAGCTACCGTTGGCGTGGTTGTGTACAAGACTGCCGCTCCTTTTGGAGTACCTATCTGGACTCTGACCATGCCTTGGTCTGCGCCAATCTTGCCTTACTTTTCAGTGGCCAACGAAGTGACCACTACCAAAAGATTGATGTTAGCAAGCTGGTTGCAACTTCTGTTGCAAGTAAGTATCGAACCGAGCTAGCCTCTAGGCTAGCTACCACTCCACCGAAAAGTATAGATGAGCATTGGTCGCAATTGCATGACGCCATGAAAATGGCGGGAACAGTCAGTTGTGGGTTCGCGAAACGTCCTGCTTATAAGCACTGGGTTTCTGAAGGTTCCTTACAACTCATTGAAGCCCGTCGGTCTACTCCGGGTGACCGTGAGTTTGACCATAAACGAAGGATGTTACGTAAGGAAATTGGGCAAAGCTTGCGTAAGGACCGAGAAGCCAGGTGGTCGAAGCGTGCTAATGAGCTGGAAGCGGCAGCTGCATCTGGTAACTACCGGAAGCTCTTCCAACTCATCCGAGCCACTGGCAGCAAGAAGTCTGGTGTGAGTGAAACAATCTGCGAGGATGATGGGATGCCAATCACTAACATCCATCGACGTCTTGAACGATGGGCAGAATTCTTTGAAGGGCAGTTCAACTGGCCTGCTGCTCCGGCAACATCGGTCAGACTGTCCTGCCCTCCATGGCCGGTGACGACTGATCCACCAAACGAGGAGGAAGTCCGCAAGGAACTCCAACTCTTGAAGCGTTACAAATCACCTGGCCCAGATGACTTACCTCCGGCTCTTTTTAGAGATGGTGGTGACTTTTTCACTAAGGAATTGACGACGTTGTTTACAAAGGTTTGAGAACTAGAGAGTGTACCAACGTCATGGAATGAGTCGATAGTTGTCCCTATCTTTAAAAAGGGTTCACGTCGTTCCTGTAACAACTATCGGGGGATAAGTCTACTTCCGATTGCGTCCAAGCTATTGGCTTCCGTCATACTTCGTAGGTTGTTCAGAACTCGAGAAAGATTGACTCGCGAGGAGCAGGCTGGTTTTCGTTCTGGTTGAGGATGTATTGATCATATCTTCACTCTCCGCCAAATGTTAGAACACCGCCATACTTATCACAAGCCAACAATCATAATGTTTCTTGACATCAGGGCTGCCTTCGATTTGTTGAACAGCACTGTTCTCTGGGATGGTCTATTGAAGAAGGGTGTGCCTGAGAAGTTTATTAACATCCTAAAAGCCCTATATACAAACACATCAGGCAGAGTAAGGGCATACAACCACCTTTCTCCATTGTCCCATTCAAGCAGTGGGGTTAAGCAGGGTTGCCCAATCTCACCATTCCTCTTCAACTTTGCCATCGATGACATTCTGGAAACAGCTCTGATGGATGTAAGTATTGGCAGTGTGGATCTGTTGCCTAGAGAAAGACTTCTCAACCTTGAGTATGCGGATGATATTGTCTTACTGTGCGATAATGCCCAAGGCATGCAATCCGCACTTAATCAGTTGACAATCAGTGTCCGTAGGTATGGTATGTGCTTCGCACCTTCGAAGTGCAAAGTACTTCTACAAGACTGGCAGGATTTCAATCCTGTTCTCACCCTGGATGGTGAGCAGATAGACGTAGTCGAGAAGTTCGTGTATCTGGGTAGCTGCATAAGTGCTGGTGGGGGTGTGAGTGATGAGATCAATGCACGTATAGTGAAAGCCAGAGCAGCTTATGCCAATCTGGGCCGCCTTTGGCGCCTTCGTGATGTTAGTCTGGCTGTAAAAGGTCGGATCTACAACGCGTCGGTGAGAGCAGTTCTGCTCTATGCTTGTGAAATCTGGACTCTCTGAGTTGGGGATGTTAAACGACTCTCTGTGTTTGATCATCGTTGTCTCCGAAGGGTTGCTGACATCCCATGGCAACACCATGTTAGTAATGCAGAGGTTCGGCATCGTGTGTTCGAGCACAGAGACGATAATCCAATTGGTGTCATCATCTTGAAACACCGACTTCGGTGGCTTGGACATGTTCTACGAATGTCGTCCCAGAGAATTCCACGTCGTGCATTATTTGCCGACTCTGGGACTGGTTGGAAGAAGCGGAGAGGTGGTCAGTGCATGACATGGTGTTGTGGTATGAAAGAAAGCTGCAAAGGACTGGCTTCTGTCGGTCCCTCACGACTCCCTGGTTGGGGTCTGAGAGATGGTGCAACACAGTGGCTAGAGACGTTATCAGATATGGCTCAGAATAGAAGCCAGTGGCGATCCTGCTGTAATCTTCTTTTACTTTCTCCATAAAAAGTGGTTGTGTCTCCCTTACCTGAAAGATTTCTTCCGATTGTACCTTTGCGTTCCGTCATTACTACCACACTACCTTAAACCAATCTCTTCGTTATTGTTCCCTTTTTTTCTATTTCTCTTCGAATTCTCATTGTTTTGTGTGGCGCATATATATTGGCGCTCTCTTGTACCAATATTTATGTGTTCAAATAAATAAATAAATAAATACAAAGAATACAGCATTCAAACAAACTTCAACCGAATTCCAGTGAAAACAACAACGCTTATATACAGGTTCATCTAATTGATGAATCCCAGATAAAACGAAAAGTGAAAATTAAACTTAGTTGATAACCACTATCTATCAATTCTAAGTAACTTGAAACTATAATAGTTACATCGAGGCAAATCCCATGTAATCCACATATGTCAACAAAGATTGACAAAATGAGCCCCTTACTAACAATGATATAAATGCAACATTTATTTTGAATAATCTCGATAATGAATGCATGCTTTTGGGTTATTTTTTTAAATAAAAAAAAGCCAATATTATCAATAAATTATTAAAACTTAATGAACCCCTAGTTGTAGGACCTTAAAGAAGACATAAATAACATACACAATATTGACTTACTATCCCGAGAGGTGTGAACATGAATTTCTTTGTTAGTTATCATGTACTTTTCTTATGTTCGAATTATCTAGTTGACTTTTATTTCTCATATACAAACATACATACATACATACATACAAATATCATAAATAAATATGTGGTCACATTGTTCGACATGTATTATGCTATTAAATAATTCTGAGAAACCATACCTTCATACGGAATCATTCAAGTTGAATAAAATAATTAATTATTTTAAAATATATGCTGACGAAAATAGATGAATGAATAGTTTATAAAACTAATAAATAGGAATGTACAACCTTCTCACCTTGACACGAATCCCAATACTAATCGAACTTTTACACGATACTGAACAGTCATGCCAAGATTTTCTTTATGGTTCGGATTGCATATACTGTTAATATATTAAAATTAGAAAAAAACCTAAATAATGATCCACTTCAGTCAGAAGTATTATATTACAATTGAAAGAATATATTTAGTAAGGAGGAAAATAATTTGGTTATACAACTAATATCAAAAGAATGTATAACCTAAATGCAATGACAATAATAATCAACAAATGCTCACTAGTGACTGGCTTCAAGAGGTATTTCCTGGAGTTCTAGTGAGAAGCAGTGATCACTGGAGTTCAACCGGGTCTCTTGTGAGATAGGAACTCACTGATGAAAATGGTGGATGTGTCGCTCAATTTCGCGGATTAGTTGAAGTTAGACATTAACACCGTTGGGTGCCGGCCGCTCAGTGGTCTAGAGGTTAAGCGTTCGTAGGCGAGAACGATAGGTCGTGGGTTTTAATCTAGCGAGGCGGGGTCGTAAATCCACACTTCTTAGGAATTCCATAGTAGGACGAGAACGGTTGTCCAGTGCTTCCAAATTTTCCATGGTGGTCTAGCTCCAATTGACTCATGATCTCAACTAGTGTTATTTTATCTTAGTTTGAAATTATCAGATTGAAATAATAATTTTAAACTAAACAATCAGAATAATAGTAATAATATTCAAAATTATTGTTCGAAAAAATACGGGTCTTGTTGTTTGATTCTACTGTTGTTGTTATTGCATTATTCAATAATATAATATTTATAACTGCTAACTTATTCAGTGGATGTCATGTTCTATCATCTATTTCCAGCCTAAAAGTATTAAAAACTTTGTTTAACAAAGATTTAGATAAACTATTTGACCATAATCATATATTTAGAAATTAATGATTTTCGTTAGCTCATGTCATCCTTTCTGGTGAGTGACCTATGCTCCTCCACGAGGGGTAACAAGCTTAAGCAAGCAAATAAATATGTAAGGGATTACATTAAGTAAGGGATTATATGAAACAATCTAAAGAAATAACGAAAACAAATAGTTAGAAGACATAGGTCAGATATTGCTTGTGGTAACATTATGATAGTAATATATTATTATAACTATTATTATTAATAATATATTACTATGATAATAATATAAAAATTAAACATTTAAACTTGATGTTACACCCTGTGTAAATAATGTTATTATTAAGGTGTTCTATTCTTTCTTATTGAAATCAATTACAATTGAATATAACGTTTATTCTATGGTACAATATTGTGAATAAACTTTTCTTTTAAAACAGAGAAAATAATTACCCTAAAAAGAATGAAACATGGAGCATTAAGTGTTAAATGGATGAAGATAATCAATATAAAGCTTAGACAGTTTAAAGTTGTCACAAAAAACACAGTATCATTTAATCACTGAGCATCCATACAAAATTCGGTCAAAATTCAATAGTATGTATATCTATATTTTAAAATAACAATACAAATAACAAACTTACATTGTGGATGAAGCTAGATTTGTATCTTCATGTTTTAATTTACCATCTAATGCTAGACCACGTTTATGTCTGTTATTGGCAAGTAATGGACGTAGTTTATATACTTTACACCAACCCGTTTGACTTGGTAAAATAGGAAATGACTCACTATCAACCAAAATAACATTAAAAATGTTAACAAATGATTATTGTAAATATTACTCAAAATAAATAGTTAGAAAAGAATAACTGGAATGGATGTAAATTTATCAGAATCATTCTACAAAATTGTGGTAATAATAATTAATGATACTATGGTTTATGATGTTACCAATCGGAAATGAAATGCATGCCAGCAGAAGATTGAGAAGATTCAATTGAAGAGAACAGAAAGAAAAACAGAAATTAGCTATGATAACAATAGAGGTGAAAGAATCATGAAGCATGTAAAGAACAACTGATGGGGGATATGCAAATTATATATTAAATGTATAGCTTTCAACAATAAATTGATCTTTCCCACTTAAGTTCTCGTTTACAACGACATTACCAAGGATAATGATGATGATATGAATGATAGAAAGAAGTCAGACATATACAGTAATAAAGTTAATCAATTATGAAAAAGATATGCATTTACACTTAATATTACTTTTTTATCAAACTTACGATCATTGCTTTGAATTAAAGTTGTTGAAAATTTTCAGAAGGAGTTCCAATAACACATACTACGTCTAAGTTGAATTTATAATCCTAAGAGAATTTAATCGTTTTCGTGGAATGCGGTCTTATATCAGTAAGTATCAAACTCACAGAGATTATTGTTCAGCCGTTTGGTCAATAACTCTTCTTTTATAAGGATGAGATGCTCGCATTAATTTTCTTCTGAATATTAAAGAAAATTATATCATCTAGTCCTAGTAATTGTCCTCATTCCATCGATCATCCCTATGGTGTGGTCAATGGTCCAAGTGACTCGACATCATAATTAGCTTTGTTTGATATTAAATAACTTCATGACAACAGTAGAAAGTGTTGAAATTCGATCAGTAAACAACGATTAACACTAAGTACTAAATAACATAAATGAAACATATTCATCGTAAAATCCAATGTAGAATAATAACATTAATTGGAAAGAACGATTGTTTGAAAATTTTTCAGAATAATTCAACCATAAAAGATTTATTGCAGTGAATGAGAGTAATTGATTTCTAAATGTTTTAGGGTCTACAATGACTGTATGTTCGTTTTATTAGGTTTGAATTATATGTGTTGTTTCTTGATGCCTAAACACTTAATCTTAACATATAACCAGTTCAAAAGAATTTTCAGCTCTTACACTGATTACTAAGTAAGCTGTTTATTTTATAACAACGTATTCACTGAATAAAACTTATTCAACATTATAATTACCATGTTCATTTCAAGCTTTGAATTATTTTCCTAAATATTCGTTATCATCATCATAACTGTCACCATTAATTCTGATATTGAATTGCTCTCAATCAATCGTGTCCATTATCTAACCGACATGTTTTTCTATACCTAATCGTAAAATTCAGTTGTACTAGTTCAAAGATATGTTAAAAAGCTTAATCGAATAAAACATTTTTCTCATTAATTTGTTTAGATTGTTCGAAAATCAATTATTGAATAGTAGAATTAGAGAAAAACTAATAAATCACATAGTGAAGTCACTCAATGGCTAGAAAATTCATGTTTTAATTTTCAAATTAATAGAACTTTGACAGTACAAACACCACTCTTTATTAGATACACTGTACTAGTCAATGTACATTTTACTAAAGCTAATTACTATCAATGAATTCATTTTGTATGCTGGATATTCAGTGATTTTTTTCTCGTTCAAAGTAATTACGTTAATATATACGTGATCACAAATTACATCCCATAATTAAAATTCCATATAATTGAGCATACAAACTATTTCGATAAAATAAGTCGATATTATCATTCTATTATGCTCGAATACGTTATATAAAACCTAATGATACTACTCACACTTAAAAATAATAAACAAAATTTGTATTTAAAATCTAGTGGTTAAAAGGGAATTATTTTAGTAAATACGAAACCACAGCTCAACTATATTCAAACAAAAGATAAATGACACCTCCTAGAATTAGTTAATTGAAATAAGTTGAGACGGGATGTGAATCATAAGTATTGCTACAGTGAATCTATTGGTAAAGTGCAAGCTGAAAACGATATATTGGCTTGACAATGACACCCTCCATGAAGTACTATATTTATTAAAATACTGAGTTTGCTAGACTTATAAAGATACCCTGTTTGATTTAATATCCATAATAATCGAAATCTTTCGAATGTATTCACATAAATTATAATATCGTAATTCATATTGTTTGTGCAAACTAGAAAAATCGTTAGTTTAAAAGTTGAATTGACCCAGTACACTCGACAATGTAATGCAGTAAAGTTTATGTAAAGATATTATGTTTTTGCATAATAATAATAATAACAATAAGTGAAGGAACTTTTTCCAATTTAACAATGATTTTGTTCATAAATACATTCCTTTTTAATTAGAAAAACAACATACATTGGAATTTTGTAAGATATTTCCCACTTAATAATTGCATGTTAGATCATAATTTTTTTCTCACTGTAACTGCAATTTATCGATTCAGTAATCTTGGTCAACATTATGTGCGCTTTTTGTCGAGTAATATCTCATTTATACAACTTCGATATAATTTCCATATTAATTCAATGTAAACGAAGTAAAGTCCCAATTTTATTGGCTGATAAGTGATCAATTACCATTCATAATCATTTTATTGTATAAGTGGTAGTTATTTAGTCGTTTTGTCTCATGATATCTAGTCATTTACAACCTCATTACTATTTTTTTCAAAAGTAAACTAGCTTTGAACGATTGAGAGGTATCTAGTCAGATTATCAACTACACAGGCCAATGCAAATAATATACTTCTCTATTACGATAACGATAACCAATTGACAAGATTATTGAATTATATTGTTAAATAATAGCAGAAATAAAACAGAGATGATAGTGGCCAGCAGTACAATCCAGGACGCGCATTTCGTCTTGTTTCAGGCTTTTCAGCCAGATGTTTATGCATCTGATAGTTCAGGTTTGCTTCGGGACCCAAATGAGACGAAACACGCGTCCTGGATTCCACTGCTAGCTACCATCTATCCTTGCCTATAATGTTTGTGACTTAAGGCAATATCAAAGCAATCCACACAGGACGTATATATCCCAATAAGACTGATCAATTTCAGTCCTAAACATCGACAGGAAAATTCAAACAACCAGTACAAAAATGGATTATTTATAGAAATAATTTATCCTTAATTTGCAATAAGTAATCAATATATTTATGAAAGAATTCTGATGTTGTTAACTGAAATGCAATAACCGGAAATAAACAGTTCTAATTAAATGTAGAAAATGTACAATCTTAACCATATATACGTATATCATTACGCGAAATGTCATAATGTTTATAATTTGTTGTAAAACACAATAGGTGTATCATCGAATACAGAATAAAATCTAAAATCATTCATAATGAAATTACAAATGAATATGATGAAGTTCATCAACAGTTTTAAATGTAAATAAACTCTAGTTTCAATGTATATGTGGCCAAAACTCACTTTATTAGCATGTCATTTATATTAAAAAATGAATGATATGATTATGAGAAATAACTAACATGCACAAATAGGTATGTGTAAAGGAATATTTAAAACACAAAGAAGATTTTAAAAAATTTAACAACACTAATACTGTATGAATGAATAAAGAATATAAAGTATGTATACACAGTGATCATGATAATCTAACAATACGATAATGTATAGAACTTACTCAGTTTCTAATTCATCCACAACACAGTTATAACGATTGTTATTGTGTAAGCATAATTGAGTATACTGACGAACTACGTAGAGGAGAATAATATGACGAGGCATAGCAGGTACATAACATATGTGTATATATATAGAGATTGTGCAAATTTATCATAAAATCACCCAGTGAACAACATCCAACAGAGATTATATGTGTAAGTAATTGTACATGCCATTAGCATTTTATTATCATTATCATCAAACGGTAGAAATAATCAAAAACAGTAGATTAAAGTGAGTTTGAACCAATGGACGAACGAACGAACGAACGAACGAGTAGGTGAATCAATAAACCAGGTCAACGAGAATAATTGCAGCCAAAAAATTATTGTAAATAAATGCATGCATTGTGAAAGAAGAATAAAAATGATAAATAAAACTGGATAAAATAAAATTATATAAGGGTTATAAGAAAAATATGTACATACACATATATTTAAGCATAATTCTAAAATAATGAAAATATTCATTATCAACATTTTGTTTTTATTTTTGGATATTACTAATATGGAATTATTGTAAGAGTTTATAAATCAACCTAGTTTATTACATTAAGATTAAGTGAGTCAATCACAAAAAATCCTAGTTTATTTGACATATGAAAGAGAAGACGATAATATGTAAGTCAACACTTGTACTGAACTATTTTGTTTGACGCCCAATTTGAAAGAGTGTATTTTTATTTAGTTAAGTTATTCCGGTTTCAGTAAACTTACTTTTGAAAAAATATGTGTTTATCAATAATAACTTAAAATTGTTATAAGATATCAACAACATTGGAGTCAATTATGAGAAGACTGTAAACAGCTAGTAGGTATAGAAAAAAGTCGTAGTTCATTGTAACGCTACCCAGGTATTAATTAACAAAATTTTTGTTTGTTTGTAAATGATTAGTATAACTAGAATGAACTTCCATTGAACCAATTTAAGAAGCTTATGTAGACTATAGAAATGATTATTTATTCAATAAAGTTTGAAATCAATAACCGCATTGTGTTATTTGATATACAAAGGCATTTTAGTCAGTGAATTGGATTTTCTACTCATTTATTCGTACAATAAGCGGATTGATTAGCACTTGCGAAAATCAGCACGGTTTTACAAGTGCTGCTGTAATAAAATTTGATTCTCAGATTAAAAAAGATTTGCTAATGTTAAGGTAGAAAAATTTCGTAAAATTATCACCAAGTAACAAAGTAATAATCTTATTTAAAAGTGATTAGTCAAATGGCATAGAAACATATTTATAAAAACAAGTATCATATAAACCTACGTTTCGTGTAATCAATTGTCATTTCTAATTGTTTTATCTGAGTCTGCTTTCAACTTTGCCTTAATACATTACGTATTTTTCTAATTTAACCTAGGTGTAATGTGTGGGAAATTCAAGCTGATAATATGAACAGTAAGTTTTCATTAGTTTAATCTCAATATAGAAATGATGAGGAGCTTAAATGGTAGACGAGTGAAATTCTGTATTACCATAGTTCATGAAATAAGCTTACATGTAATATTCAATTTTATACTTACAAAAACAACCGCAAATAATTTATTGTAGTTTATATACATGTCTTGAAAAGTATACCGAGATGAGGTGATATCTGAGAACCCAAAATGTCAAAGTGATGAAAATCTCACACATGTCATAAGTTATTTAGGGAGATATACTAATGGTGATTCGGTACGAAATTTTGGATTTCAACCGTGTCTGCATGTTATTACGTGGAAGTATATGGTCTTGCATGCCACCCTTATGAACTCTCAGAAAATTAACGTCAGTATAAATGCAAAGGATGAAAAATCTCTCGGATAAATGGAGGTTAATTAGCCATGTTATGAACGGTGTGATGTTAAACAAGTAGAATTTATTGACAAGAATGTGCACTTTTGAATTGCCGAGTAACAGACTTCATATATTTTAGTAGTCCCTTTTCGTTATGTTGAAAGCCATTGTGATTGAGATGCTGTAATACATGCTATCATCGGTAATAACAATGAATTTCATAGTCATGTAAGCGAGGTAATTCGGAATTGACCTGTTCTCGCTAAATGCAATTGGTTATTGACCAATACAAATATATACATAAAGGGTAAGTGATCAATTAGGATTCTTGATACCGTAATGGTTGTGCCACTGTACTAATCTGTGACATTTATGTTATAAACTGTCAAGATGGCGTTTAGTTTTCCCTTATAACCAGCCTAAAAGTGAATTATCCTGTTGTAAAATCTAATTATGAATTTACTAGTTGATGCTGTTAGTAGTTCTACGTTTGTTTTAGAAGCTAATGAATCAATATCTACGACAATATCGCAAAAGGAACATCAAACCAACTAAGACTCAGATTCTAAACGGTACTGGGACGACTGCAGCAATTTTCGAGTTTACATAGGTTAGTGTGCTCTGATTCGTGAAGAGGATTGTGATTTATTAAACCAGCATTCACAAAACTGAACAAAACATTTTAAATCTTGGCTGTGTTTACTATCTCATTATTATTCATGCCTGATAACGGGTGACATATTAAATGATAGCTATATAATTAGCAGAAAGTAAAATTTAGAACAACATATATAGGTGAACAATATTGTTTTCGATTAGATCCTCATCAGGCTTTACTCGAATGTACAGTAATATTTATATGCATATATGAAATTATTAAACCAATCAAGGTAGTTTGTAAGTCAATGATAACAATGAAAACGATTACATAAGTGAAAAGTGAAAAGTACAAATTAGTAGTGTGATAACAGGTGCATTAGTTTTGATAAGAATAATAAAGGCTCAAACCAATGTTACATAATCGGAAATAGGTCAATGATTAGAAAACTATAGACAGTGAGATAACATTTATAAAATGACGTAACAGGAAGTGTTCAGATAATTGGACCGTGAAACATATATTTGAGAGAAAATAAAATAAAATGGTAGGAGAGGGCGAAGAAAAACAATAAACGAAGAGAAAGTTTGAAAAAATAACAAGTAAATTCATTTATTAAGGCCAAGGAAGAGATAAGGGTGTTACAAATTTCTTCTGAACAGAAAGACTTCGCTTGTTGGCTCGAATTCCTATAGCTTCCGCTATGTATAAGAGACGAGAGCGAACACATTAAGGAAAACTGGTGAGAATACGATAAATAACTTTAAATGACTTGTTTCTGTCCACTACATGACCGCTATCGATCAAGCGTGATAGAACCGAGCTGCGTATTGTCTTGACGTTACCTTTTTCTAACCACGAAAGGAGGTGTTCACTAACTCTTTGGCTCACTTGCCTGGTAGTGCACCCAATATAGCTTTCTCCACAGGAGCAGCTGAATTCATAGACGCACGGACCTCTCAAAGAGGTTATCAGTAAGCTTAATTTCTACTGTCGTTACGTTGATGACACTTTCATCATTGCCGATCAGAACATTAGAGAAGAACAACTACTAGAACTATTTAATAACAAACATCCTGCAATTAAATTTACATATGAAGAGGAAATATATAATAAACTACATTTCCTTGAAGTTTTGTTAAATAGAAAAGAAAATGGTTCTATCAGTAGAGGTGTGTATAGAAAAAGTTCTTCTTCAAGCCAATACACACATTTTTAAGCTTTGTGCCTCTTCAATATAAGAGAAACTTAGTCAAATGTCTGGCAAATAGAGCTATTAAGATATGCTCAGTTGACACAATTGATAAGGAATTAGAACATAGTCATAATATGTTGATTGAATAAGGTTATCCACAGGGTTTCCTGAAGAAACACTTGCGTGTAACAAGCAAGAAAATAGTGACACCAACGGCTCATAAGAAACCTCTATTCTTACAGCTGCAATTCAGCGGTGATGTAGATAGTGATGTATTACATGATGGACTGACTAGAGCAGTAAAGAGAACGTTTAATGTTACCAACCTCTGTCTATCGCATTCGACCCGATCTGTGGTGATTCCCCAACTGAGGGATAAGTTACCTGGTTATGCCACTTCTATGTGCTGCTCCTGTGGAGAAAGCTATATTGGGCGCACTACCAGGTAACTGAACCAAAGAGTTAGTGAACACCTCCCTTCGTGGTTAGGAAATCTTTACTCGAAGACAACCGAATTCTTTTGATAACCGTCGGTAAGAAAATAAGTCAACATCAGATCATTGAAATAATTTGCTTTCCTGTAAGTTACGTGAATGGATTTTTAATAAGTGGACTAAAATATTTTACTGTTTAAGTAATCAGAGAATAACACTTAGTACGATTAAGTTACTCACAAGAAATGCTACAAATTAATATAAAAGACCAACGAAATAGTAGAAACCTTACATTTTTTAAAAAATTCTCCCATTTTATTTAAAAACTGACAAAACTTTTTAAATATTTCAGCGATAAACAATTTAAAGAACCAGAAGTCTTAAGAAACGGAATATATTTGAAACTGCATGATGCGTTGCAGTGAGTAACAAGTTGACTAAAATACTAAAGATAGCTAGTAGTAGGGTTGACTTTATACGTTAAGCCCAAAACTTGATGTATGTTTTTGAAAAACAATATATTGATCGATTTGTTGCTATTATCAAACATATGGAAATTATTAAATGTACTTCAACATGAATGAAATATACTCACAATTCCATTTGAAGTAATAAGCTATTTACAAATAAACTTGCTTCTGGACACAATACGTTTGTATAATACTAAAAGTTTATGAATATTGTTACTTGCTGACATAAACATTACATAAATGGAAGTTTATTTCTAGAATAATATTACAGTTTAGCCGACTGAACATGTTTTAACATATCTAAATGTATAGGAGCTGAAATTTAATGGATCTTTCCTCTTAAAATAAGTAAACTAATGTACCCTATGGAAAAATTAATAAACATACACAAATGACGTATTTATTTCAGAATAAATAGATATATATATATATGTATCGAAATAGTTTATGGACTTGACAAAACATCAGAAAACTGGTTAGTTTTTCGGAGAGTTAAGTGTAAATAAACCAGTTGGTTAAAAATCCTCATAAATTTTCTCATCAAATAAATAATTAATTTAGTAAAACAAATTTATTTTCGACGATTTCATTGACAAAGATATATAGAAACAATTATATATTATTTGTAGGCACGAGATCATAGAAGAATTTTCGCCCCTAAAACAACAACTAATGGGGAACGTATATTATCCAAAATATTTTGAAGAGAACGGGAAACTCCAACTTTGCAGGGATTCAGTAAAAAAAAGATATATATAATAGAAATTGACTTAGAAGGTGACAAAGAGAACCTGGCTTAAAGGAAAAGTTTCTGGTTCTCAACACCTTTAAGTTTGATATGCTTTAGTCTACTCATATTTACCAGTAGAATAGAGCTAGAGACCTCAGACTCAGCCACTCCAGTATTTGTTTTTGTGAAGCTAGGCATAAATTGCTTGGTTAAAAAGATACAGTAGTAGATTCACAGTAAGTCAGTAATAGATAACTCGTGAACATACAGGTCAATCGATCAAAAAGTGCTAATCATTTAAACTCCTATACCAGATGAAAAATTACCTGCCGAAAGTAGTTAACTTTTACATCCTTCGAGATTTTATTTACATACAGAGGTCAAAACTATGTAACCTAAATAAAATTACTCAACCTCTTCTCCTACCACAAACACAATCACTAGCTTTACTAAATTATCACCTATTCCTTCTCTGTTCAATTAACATACTCTTAACAGATTTATTGATGCTTTTAAATCCTTTATGACCAAAATTTTATCTTATTCTCTTTTGTAATTTATTTTTATAATAAAAATAGTTGCCTAGTTTTTACGGCGCTCTTTAAAATTAATTTCTAAAGATTAACCAAGTATATTTCCAGTTTGCTGTTAGAAACAATATCTCTGTAATTCTGATTATTTCACTTTCTGTTGTCATATTCTGAAAATTATTGCTACTATCGCTAGATATAAAATATCATTCTAAAATAGTATTTTCTTGTATGACTATATAACTTTATTGCATGTTTTTCACTCAAACAAATTATTAATTGAATAGTTATCATATAAACAATATGAATGAACCTACATAGAATGGACGTAAACTTCATCTTAGAAAAGTATAAAACTTTACTGAAGTTTACATATTCCATGTTGAAGAGTGAATACTTGGTAATATAAACAAAACAGTTCAAATCTATAAATGATTGTTTATGTACAGTGATACTTTTCCATGAAATTTATCGTATAGAATAGTACTTTATGGAACCTATTTATGTCATCCCAATTTAGCTTAATAAGTTGTTTTTTTAGTTAACTATTCAAATGCAGTAATAAATGATTTTCAAACGATTTAAATAAAAGGGAAATTTTTTAAGTATAATTGAATATTCAACCGTGTATACAACTTGAAATCATTTAAACAATTGGGAGATGAACAATTCTCTTGGGAATCTCATAAATAACTGAAAAGAAACAACAATAACAACACAGATATAACACACAACAATAATAATTTTAAAACAAAACATACCCAAAATCGATATAGTAATAAGAACAAGATGAAAACTATTCCAACATCACATCCACAAAAGGTAAGGATATATGATCATTCAATAAACTCCATGAATAAAGAGTTATATATATGTATGCATAATTATTTAAGTTATATGCATTAAAGATAACACTGAACTAATTCTTACTCATATTCAGCTTCATCAACTGTACATTTGTATACGGCACGACTAAACAATGTAATGTCTGTAATTTGAATAACTTTAAGGGGGAAAATGTGATCAGAAACAATTACGACAGGAAAAAAATAGAAATGCATACAGAAAGATGAAAATTTATGATACATCAATTAAAAATGACATTTAATTATCTTCTACTGTTTAATTAATGAGAAGGAAAAATAACAAAGGAATATACACTTAATGGCAACCATGAACAACAAGTATACACAGAAGAAATCTGATTATAAAGAGATTTTACGTACTGCAGTGAATAATGAAATACTCATAACAATAAAACTGAAATCAGAAAGAATAATAAAACGGAAGTGTACACAACAAACGTATATGTAATATATTTGTAAGAATGAAATTTGGAAAAAAAGTAAGATAATAGTAGTAATAATAATTAGTATAAGCTACCATTCAATCACATTCATTCAAAGACAATTCTTAAATTATATGAAATCGTTTCCTGTATGCAAAAGATGTAATCACTGGAATAAAAATAGTTCTTGGAATAAGCATAGGCATAAATTCAGTATAAATAATAAATAATATCCAAATATTCATGTAAGAACATCAAAAAGATCCAATCAACAGAGTTTGTTTAAGGCTGACAGATATTCGTCTGTTGTGCTTGGATTGAATAAAAAACTTTTTTCTGAAAATAATCTCGTATACATTTTTTCAATTATCAACTAAACAAACAAAAGAATAACGACTTCTGTATATCATAGGTTCATTAAGGTATATTTAATGAAAAAATTTCATTGGTAGAAACGCCTAAATACCTAAGAAATTTTGAATATGTTCAGGAAGAATCAAAATTCTTGAAAGGAAAATTGGGAAACTTCACATTGGCTCGTGATGTCAAGTAAATCAGTTTAAAATCTTTCAATGTGATGAATAAACAATCTAATCGTAATCTTCTCTACTTTGATTTGATTGTAATAATCAAAAACTTATCGACTAATTTAAACCTTTAGTTTAATAAACTAACTAACATTTCTATTCTTATTTCAGAGTTTTACTACGATAGTTAAACTGACAATACCAGTCAAGACTATGGAAATTCAAACTTAGTAAGCAATGAAATTATTTGAATATTAACAACTTTAGAAAGAAAAGAAAATGAAATATATTACTCATTATAATTTCATTATTATTTTTATTAGATAATATTTGATTGATTTGCAAAAATTTTAATAACATATTAAAGTACTAATTTTGGAGAAAATTACTTAATCATATTGACAGTTGACCAAAACTACTATTTCAATCAACTAAAACATACAATCAAACATTCACCAAGCATGAATATTTATAACAATTAGTATCTAAATTATTCAAAATGATCCTGAACTATTGAATAAATAAATAAATCGATAAAAGAAATACTTATTTTTGTGCTCTGTACGAACACTGAAAGTTTTTGGTGTAGTTACAATCATATAGAAATATAAATCAAGATTTCTTGTAGAGAAACAAAAAAAAGAAACAAAACAAGATAAATCGAAAGTTGTTGTTTATCATGATAAGAAGGAGAAAAAATACAATCGGCGTTTTTTGATGGAATTCAAAAAGAACATGGTAAATTTGGTAAATTTTGGTATTTCTGATTAATTAGAGAAAACTAGTTTTAATGACTAGAATTACTTATTATGAACATAATAATAGTAATTATTATTATTATTACTATATTTTTTTATTGACGTCATGACTAATCTGGACATTGTCGACAAATAAACGAATTTTTTCAATTCTCACAAATTATTCACAGACATTTCTTCGGATAGTTGTTTACAACAATTTTTGTGGCTATACAGTTAATGATTTTATCGGGAAATCGTGTACGTCAGAAATACTGTTTGTACAGTATATATATATATATATATATATATATATATATATATATATATATATATATATACATATGTAATCGAGTTTTTCAACCCAATTTCATCTGATTTACATTATATTACATCTGTGACAGTCCAAATACATCCTTAATAACTCAGACTATTAATTAAAAACAAATTGGGTATACATAAAATAACGTCGAAATTCAAGGAAAACACCTTTGTTAGTTCAATTCTCAAATAACGATTTTAATATAGCTCAAGTTAAGAAAATATAATAGATCATGTTGGACAATAAAAAAAATGTCTGCAAATAATAGTCATAATAATTTGTAAGTACGAACCTGTGTAAATGTTTGCCTATGTGTGAATGTGTAGAGAGAGAGAGAGCGATACTTACCTGACAATTTGATTTTTTTCACTGTCTTATTTGAATTATTGTCTACCAAAACATTGATATCTATTGATTCACCATGATAATATTTCTATTTAGTGGTGTTGATGATGGTATTATCATTGGTTGGAACAAGAAAATGAATCAAGAGGGAAATGAAGGAAAAAAGCAAATAGATGAGAAAACAGATCAATGGATGTAAATTTATAATCAATGTAAAATCAGTGTTGTTAGTGTATATTACTGACAACTATTTAACAAGAATATTGGATATGAGATAATTATTCATAGCAGGTAATGCAAGATGGTCATGCAACATTGCTAACTGATTGGATTCGGACATCTACACAATCGGTCCTCGAATCGGCTGTCTAAAACTTAAACGTTCGCGCATGACACCAAACGTTCTGTGTTACATCTCCGGTAAGGACGTAGATGTTTCCTGCTTAGGATTTTAGTAATAAAACAAAATAGTTTACTGATGCTTTCTGATTTCCAGTATCTGTTTAATTATGATCTATCCATTATGCTTATAATGCTTTACTAGTGAATCTCAGTACGTGATTAAATCTGCTTTTTAAGTCATAAAACGATTTTCGCGAAATTCACTCTATATAAATATAGCTACAATGTTGAATAATTTAATTGTTTTTTTATACGGTTTGAAACGAAAAATAAAGTGATTCATTTATAATTCATTGGAGAACAATATAAGCAGTTTTGATAATAAACTACAAAATATATGTATTTAAACCTTTTACAAAAGAATTAAAAGCATTCATTGCACTCCAGAATTACCTAAGGAAGCATTCTTTACATGTAATAAGATATTCGACTCGAAAATAGAAAACATAATGCGTCAGCCTCGTATGATTATCAACTATCATGTGATGCTATCTTCTGATATCACTTCATTACGTTTTGGATTATGTATTTAGGTTTTATACTTGAGTATAATCCCCGAAGAAAACCATTTTTGATATTTTTACATGATATCAATAAATGATAAGCTTACATGATGAAACGATGACACGTTCATAGAAACGAAATTATGTTTCTTAATATAGCAATAAAGGCAAATATATATAATACAGACCAATGAGTGTGACTGTGTAATATTGAAGTGATTCTTTATCAAACATTTAACATCTTATGTTTGACTGTTACTATTTGTAAACTAATGGATCTATTTAATTACAGTTTAGTTTGATGATCAGAAATTGTAATAACTTATTGAGTAAAAAAGATCATTAAAAATAATTTTGTTCAGTTATTCAAAAGTAACAGGATGCAAGTATTCGGTAATCAATATTCCGAGAAAGTCCTATGGAATTTCATTTACAAATCTGATATCTAAAATTCAAACAAATACAATCCACACACAAGAAGAAAGAAAAGGTTTATCGTTGACTTAATCAGTAAGATACTCACTAAAAAGAGGAAAACGGTTGGAGTTTTGGGCAGACTGTTATGGTGTGGCATTCTTTGAAATGGATAGATTGTGAAGCAGTCATTGTCGCGACTTAACCAAGTGGCTCTTAAAAATAAACAATACCAAAAATGTGCTTAAAAGTGACTGGCTTCATGAGGTATTTCCTGGAGTTCCAGTGAGAAGCCGTGGCCAGTGGAGGTCAACCATCCAATGTAAACAGTTACTAGCTGAAGACGATGGTGGATGGTCGTGCAATTTCGTGGATTGGTTAAAGTTGGACATTAACACCGTTGGATACCAGCTCAATGGTCTATAGTTTAAGCGCTCGAGCGCGAGAACGATAGGTCCTGAGTTCGAATCTCACGAGCAGGATCGTGGATGAGCTCTGCTGAGGAGTCCCATATCAGGACGAAATAGCTGTCTAGCGCTTCCAGGTTTTCTATGGTGGTCTAGCTTTAATAGACTCATTAATTCGACTGTTAAAAACTACTAAAAGTGTTATCAGTAGGAAAATTATGTGTCAACTCGTAGACTTTATATTACCATTCCCTTCTCTATTCATTTTATAAATCAATCTTATCTTTAAATAATATTTATTTGGGTTATTTTTCTATAGGTTCTTAGAGATTTTAAAATCTGGAATGAAAATATTTAAACCAAATTGATTAATCCAAATAAACAGAAAAAGTTTAAAATCAGTAAAACAACTACCTACTTCTTTATTTAGAGAGACCTCCAAACGAAGTGTACCTGGACTCATAATAAATTCTTTAAGGACCACTGCAGATGGTTGTGGGGCTGGTTCTTCTGGTGCATAAGTCAGTTTACGAATAGCAAGTCGAACAGCATTACTATTGATTTCGAAAAATATAAATTAGAGAATGATAATAGTTTAACGCTAAAGTTAACTTTAAGAGAAAATCATTCACGCACCAAAAACAAATATTCATCATAATTGTTGTTATTGTGAATTTATGCTACACCGTATTGATGACATTTTGCATTATAAAGCAGTTTAGCGCAGGTATGGATTACAGAAATTGGTTAACTAACAAAAAAGTCACTCCAAATATCACCGTATACATTAAACTTCTCTTATATAATGGAATAGAATAAATTATAATACCTGTCTCCTGTTTATCACTTCTGTTTTGATAGATACACACTCAAACACACAGTCAGCCATTATCAAAGTTGAGTGGCTTCAAGTTTCCATACCACAATAGCACGATGAAGTGAAATTAGGCGAATGAATAGCAAAAGTGATCAAAACAACGTAATAGCAATCACGGTTAAAAAAGAAAAAGGTTCAAAAATCCATTGGGAAAGTATACATGAAGGAGTATCGGAACACAAAATCGACAGTAAAATAAAATTGAGTATATCTGAGTCACTGTAAACGATTCTGATTCATTTCACAAAACGTCTCCAGATACTGATCATGGTTATCACACTGACCTCGCCCAAATAGTCTGCATCTGCCAATATGCCTCGAACCAACACTCAATGACTTCATAGACTGTCACGTTTTTGGTTTTATTGCAACTACCTTTCTTCCAACCTATTTTTGTATTGCTAAGCATTCCTCATCGGAGTAGGCGGTGGTTAGACATACATAGAATCTCTCCTAGTCACCTCAGTCGATAAAGGTTCACTACGTCATCGACTGGTTTGCCAGTATCCTATGCCTAACTTCAACATTGCTTGCACCCAAATAAACACAAAAAATGTTACTTGTACTATCGATTTGTATCTACCACTTTACTCGATCTTGTAAGGCATGTTATATTAACAGTATAGAGTTTGCATTTGCCAGACGTCTATTTGGGCACTACCTTACATTACTACGTAGACAGTAAACTTGTGCACAGATGAGTCTATAGTAATTCATTAATTCAAGCATGATCTCAGTGAGAAAACATCACATATTCAGTCTTCTATTTTATTATCCTTGGACTCCTTCCACTACTAAAAATTTTCAGTATTAGTTATTCTCTTATTCTTTGTCTTCGACATACAAGTATACAGCTCAAGTAAAGAATGTCGTTGAAGACAAACGTTTCTTTTATTGAACCATCTTCATTTTGTTTCTTATGTATTTTTCCATTTGTTTATTGTTTATTTTATGTTAATTACAATTTAATAGAAGCACAAACTTAATTTCAAACACTCAAAAAAAGTTAGTTAATCAAGTACAGGTTAATCAAAACTTCTTTCTTTCATTGGGGTTCTATTAACATCAATTAGGAAGCAGAAAATGTTAGTTTATCTTACTATAATTTACATTACACCACGTTAAAATTTTCAGATATTTTTACAATATAACATCACCATAAATATACAAACCAAAACACTCAGAGCAATTTTAGTTTGATTAATACCAATATTATTAATTGTTAAGAATTGCAGTTATTACTATTATCATTATTAGTATTAGTATTATTGTTGTTAATATTAGTATTCACCGTTTATTACACTGTAATTGATTGTCCGGGCGGTAGCTTATAGCTCCGCATAAAAACATTCGGCTGCAAAAATTGGAGTAAATGAGCTGTAATAGTTTAATATGAAAAAACAAAAACATTCAATCATATTATAGAAATGATCAATTATCACCAAAATAATTGGCAAATTGAATTTTGTTTTTAGAAAAACAATGCACACACGTATAAGTACATACACTCAGTGAATGATAGAAACGATGATCTTGATAAAAATAAAATAATAAAAATCGATCTGTTTTCAAACATTAATCACGAGCTCATGAGTGAAAACATTAGTAGTTTAGTTACTTTACCAAGTGCTTTTTTAAACAAGTTGTTCAAGGCAATCATTTTCATCTTTAATTACTGAGTTACAGATTCAGACTTCATTTCACATACTTCAATTTGAGCACTCAGATAGTATTGCCAACTTTTAGATGAACAGTCTGGCTCATAATTAGGTATGAGAAATCCACGGTTTTATTCTGTGTTCGGCTATTGAAGAAGGGGATGTCTAAAAAACTTAGTAACATCTTAAATGCTCTGTACATAAATGCCTCAGGAGGAGTAAGAGTATGCAACCAACTCCCTCCACTGTTACATTTCAGAAACTAGGTTAAATAGGTTTGTTCAATCTCACCCTTTCTCTTCAACTCTGACATTGATGACATTCTGAGAAAAAAGCTTTAGAAGAAGTGATTTATATCCGTTATAATATGTATGTAGATTACATTGTCTTGCTGTGCGATGAAACACAAACGATACAAATCTTACTTATTCAGTTGACGACCAATATTCGTAGACGGTAAGTAGTTAGAATAAGTTGAGATGTGCGTGCGTCTGCGAAGTCGTGTAAGTATTCGTTGAAGCGTAATTGAAGAGATAAATCTACGCATAGTGAAAGTCAAAGCGGTTTATGCTAGTCTGGACCATCTTTGTCGAATTCATGATTTTAATTTGACCTTAAAAGATCAGGCTTACAACTAGGGAGTAAAATCAGTTTTGCTGTATCCATTTGAAACCTGACCCTTCTGAGTCGGTGATGCTCGGTGACTATCTGTGTCTGATCGTCGTTGTCTCTGAAGGGTTGCTGGTACTCGGTATAAACACCATGCTAGTTATGGGGATATTTTTTAACATGAATCTTTGTATAGTGATAATAATTCCGGCTGGTGTCACCGTCTTGAAAAACCTGCTTGTTTGGCTTGGATCTGTCGTCCTAGTGACCTCCACATTATAACATTTATCGACGCTGAGACTGGTTGAAAAAAGCCAAAGTAGGTCAGTGTATGATATGTTTGTGGGTTATGAAAAAGATCTGTACAGGATTGGGATCTGTTGGTTCATCATCACTGCTCAGTTGATATCCTAGAGACATAATCAAATATGGCTTAATATAAAAGTCCTGTTTCACATTCTTTGTAAAAAATATGAGAACCTCATTTAATTTTAAAAAAGTGTCCTCTGATGTACTTTTTTATTGAAGTACATCTTTTACTACATGCTACTCTCGTTTACTTCTTTTTGTTCCCTGGATTATTTTTCATTAGACTTCTCCACTTTTCTTTATTTATTGACAAAATGTGGCATTTTTTACGCTTTAGACTTTCTTGGTTTTTAATAAAATGGTCGATAGAAATTCAGCAGTTAGTTAATTTAGCATAGTATTTTTTTAAGAAAAAAAAGAAAGCGTGTATTATGAATAACTAGAAGATGAACTTTTAACTGATATTCACATAGTTATTCAGAATTTTATCTACAATTATATCTGAATAAGGAGTTGATGTTTTATGCAAACAACTCATTTGTAATTATTTGAATAATTAATATTGAATAATACAATACAATTTATGGTTTGAATGTACCATTCCATTTATTGTATTACTTTAAATTTATAAAAGAAAATGTTATTCAAATTAAAGTTTTTCTATTAATTGATCTAAACACTACAACTACATATACATTATTGTTCATCAGTATTTCTCGATGAACTCCATTGTACTGAGAATAATAATATACTTATTAATGACTAGCGTCAAGATGCGATTCCTGGAGTTCTAGTAAGGATCCGTAACCAGTGATGTTCAATTATATCAATTGTGAGACAGTTATCTACAGCAGACAATCTACGGTAGTCACGCAATATTTCGGATTGGTTGATTTTGGACATGTAAACCATCAGATGCTGGATCAGTTGCCTGAAGCTTAAGTGTTAACCTACGAGAATAAAGGTTCTTGGTTAGATCTGCAGCAGGGTTGTGGATTTGCTCTTCTTGGAAGTCGTGTAGTAGGATAGACCATTTGTCCAGTGCTTTCTGGTTCTCAGTGGTCATCTAACTAAGCCCTAAATATTAGTATTTTCTATTATTGGATTTTGATATTTAAGACTATTCGTACGTAACAGTTATATGACTTTTAGTATTTTGAAATAATCTCCTGACATATGCACAGCCGATTATGTGTATCTGTGCACGTTTTTATATTTCACATCAATACGAAACTATATGATAAACAAGAAACAAGGACCCTCGCATCTGTAAACACAGCTCGGACTAATAATAATCGACTTCATATACTGATGGCATTTATTGGTCTGGTAGCCTATAGCCCTTCTCCAACTTAGTTCAATGATAGTACAGCTAAGTGATCGGTAGTAGTCAGATATGTGAAAAATTATTAGTGTTTCGTCTCACAGTATGCTGAATAACAAAGTTCACTCCTATTAAATGTTCTGTAAGATGGATTTCATGGTGGATACGTTTTTTCTTGTTGTTAAGATAAAATAATAAAAACACTTCAAGAAGTAAATACACATCACAAAATACTTAAACATTCCCTCATTTATTGTAAGGAATTGTAAATTACATAAGCATTTTTCAAATAACATATCATCATCTTGATAAAACATAATTTTGATATTGTGTCGAGCATTGAACAGTTACACACCTACGATTTGACATTCAAGTAGACACTATAAAATATTCATAAAATTAGTGATGAATCACACCACTTTTCTATTATTTCACTAGTATTTTTAAAATCATTAAAACTAAAAAACATAGTTTAAGCAAAATTAAATATGATATTTTCAACTTCCAATAAACAAGATCTTTGAAACTAGTGTACTGGTCGAAACAGGCATTGGTATTAAATGAACATTGTATAGGATGAGTAATTATTATGAGACATACAATCCACAATAAAAGACATATATTATATGGTATAATATATTCAACGGAATATAAAAAAAGAATAATATTAATTTCACTAGTTTGAAGGTCCCTTTTCATGCTACAGACGTCTATGCAAAACGAAAATTTTTTTAAAATATGTGATATACAAATGCCACACGCGCGCATTTCCATACTTATGGCCACCATAAATAGGTAATAAAGAAACTGAATTAGAATTGAGGGATATCGATACATTAAAGAAGATCAAATTAATACAAAGGGTTGTTTGAACTACCGATGTAACATTATATTATCTTTATTAATTCTACTTACCATCAATCGAACACTCTTAAAAGACTAGCGTCCAGCTAAACTTAAGGAGTCCTAATGAGAAATGACTTGTGAAGGGCAACCACTTCATCCACTGTCGTTGATTGATGTCGCTAAACAATGTAAATTGTTTCAAAGTAAAAATCTGTACCTTCAAACTTCAACTTGTCAGTCTAAAGATAATGAACTCGTAGCAAATTTTGAAGGTCTTCAGACCGATTTTTGATAAAGATGTGCGTATTATCTGCTTAGGAGCCTTACACTATAGTTAAACAAATATCTGATGCTCCCTATTTTCCAAGTGTTTTCCACTTGCTATCAATTTATGATGAAACTCAATTTGTGATCTGCTTTATTTGAATTACTTATGTTTTCTGTTCGGTATATTCACACGTTACTTTAATATACTTACCAAATTCACCGAAAATGTGTTCAGAATACATTTTTACAGTTGATTAGATTGTTTTTACAATAGAAGTACGAAAAATATACAATCACCTACTCACCTCAAACAGGTTATGTGCACTGAATATCTATTATCCTTGCCTAGCAAGGCATTAAATTTATGCGTATGCAATCATTTATATCATATAAATGAAATCAAAATGACTAAGCCATACTATGTATTTTGGAACATAATACACAAGTAAGATCGTAATAATCAGTAGAATCATATAAATGTACAGTTAGTTGAGTGGTTATCAGAGACATTTTGATGATGAAATGGCACTGTTACCAGTTGATCAGAGCAGGAAATCCATTGTATTTCAAACACGCTAAGCCAGTAGCATTATCTTATCTATGATACATGAGTGTGTCCTTTTGAGATGTCCTAAGCCAAGAAAAAATAGGTCTTTAGCGCTCGCGAATCTGTATGCTTCTTTCTGTAAGGACTGTTTTACAGTAATTTTGTTTAGTTACAAAGTAATTAAAACAGCAATTAACTTTACAGTTGATTACTAAGTAGTGGCTGATATCATGTTTATGTAGTCTTTAAAACGCGTTTAAAATTGTGAAGCTTGATGAAACTGTATCGAACTCGTAAGCGAAAACTAGTTCTGTCAATATTACAGCTATACCATTATAACGAGTGTAAAAGAACATGAGACTTGAATAAATAGTCTCCAGTCGACTATATCTGACCAAATAATGACTAATTTTGTTAAACAACATAGTCATCTTTCTCTAGTTTCAGCTCTTATCAATGTATCAGAAGAATTAACCTTACATTAACTTATTTAATACTAAATCAGAAAAAGTCTGTATACAAATACTAAACAGCATTATATATGATATACTTCATACACATTAAACTAGAGATTGACTATTCATTTGTATTATGAAAAAAGAACTAATAAACCTTAATTCAAATAAAAGAATTTACCACCATCATATAAATAAAAACTAGGCAACAAATATTATCAAAATCTTTTTTTTTTCAGAAAAATTCCTTAATGTATAAAACCATGTTACTTTTTTATTATTTTCCGCCTATTTATTTATTTATTCATTCAAATAAACCTCTCATTTTTCAAAAGTATTTTGTTAATCATTATCATATATTGTTATTTTGAGGGAAATGCAAACAATTTTAGTCGGAAGACATCTAATTTGTTTAGAAGTAGATCATTTCAAAAAAGAAACAAGTATTCATATTCAAATGAGAATAATACTAAAATTACTAAAGAATTATAAACTAATCATTTTAAAGATTCATTTTGTATGTTTAGATGAAAAGTTTCAATAAGTAACTATTGTTCTTTGTTAAACAGATTTCTCACAAGACAAGAGAAAATTAAAATATACCCTGATACAACAAAAAAATATGGGTTCAAAAACTCATTTTTAACCATAAAATAGAACTTATACAATATTGATTTATTATTCTTATTAATGGCTTTATTTAACATTACATTTCTAGTACAATATAGACAGGACAAAATATTTCAACAAATTTTTTTTCACTGGTTGAAATCATGAGTCAATTGAAGCTAGACCACCATGGAAAACCTGGAAGCACTGGACGTCCGTTTCGTCCTTGTATGGGACTCCTCAGCAGTGCGCAGACCCGATCCCGCCCCCCCACGGGATTCGGACCCAGGACCTAATGGTTTCGCGCGCGGGCACTTAACCATTAGACCACTGAGCCGGCATTCTGGGTTCGAATCCTGTGGGGTGCGTGATCGCGGATGCGCGCTGCTGAGGAGTCCCATACAAGGACGAAACGGCCGTCCAGTGCTTCCAGGTTTTCCAGTGAAATTTCTAAACAATCTCCACAAAACCCATTCTGATAAAATTTCTTTTTCTTATTGCTTGATCGATTCTGACGATGAATATTGAGTGACCGCCAGTCAAATGTTAACAGTTTAAGAATTGACATCTGAATAATTTTCATTTATTTCAATGCATATGGTCAGCTACCACGATGTCTCTGATTGCATTTTTTTGCTAATTTTACAATGAAAGGTTTCAAACCTTTCATAAATGCGCTTGAATAGTTTATGCGATCAGTAGATATTACGATTTGTTAAAACAAGCAAAAAAACAGTTAACTTGTTGTTGTTCTAGATGGCAAGAACAGGTGGCCCAGATATTCAAGCTAGCGGCTAACTGCCAGTCATAACTCAACATATAATATACTTGATCAGGTTTTATAATTTTATCAAACTTCTTCCAGTTCATTTTGTTTTAACTTTTCAATCAATAAAATTGTTAATTCTTTATTTCCGAAAATAATACATAACTTACCGTTTTTGTAATTTATCATCCGATGTCTCAGCCACATAAGTTCTTAGTTCATAGTCTACACCACATGGCTAGAAAAATAAATTATTGTTTTGAAGTATACAATGAAAAATCACAGTTTTGAATAATTTACAAATGTTTAAATGAAAATAATTAAAAAACTTCGGATTGCATGTCTCAGAATCGGTCACAGTGGCGCAGATATTTCGACTCTTTAATTTCCTCTTCATTTTGTATTCCAGTAATCCTTTCTATTTAAGTTTTTGAACCCTGTCTTCTCCGACTACATTTCAAATGAGCAGTTTTTCTTTTTGTTAGCGCCACTCAAGTGCCTTGATCTCATTTGCTATCCACCTTGTTAGTTTCATCTTGCTGTGCTAATATCATATGGTAGCATCCGTCAAAGCACATCCCAGGCTCTATACTGAGAAAAACTAGCTGACACGAATATTATAATCTCATTTCAATCAAAAGTTAAGACAGAATGGAGATTTAAATGGTTTTTGGTTTGAATATCTATCTGTTCACTAAATAACATTTAGGTACTTTGAGCAATGGGCATTGAATTTTTGCATTTAGAAAGCGTTTAAAGTACAAATGAAATCATTTTAATATTTTCAGAAATCTTCCATGTACGAGGATATTTTGAAATTATCTGTGAACTAATACTGAATTTATATTATATGGTAGACAGAACATTTCACTTACAATTAAAAATCACTAGTATAGGGGTTGTGGAGATTATTAAGTTTTTGATTGAGATCATGAACCGATTGATAATAAACCACCTTTTGAAACTTGGAAGCACTGGACGGCCGTTTTGTCTTAGTGTGGGACTCCTCAGCAGTGCACATCCCCGATCCCGCGAGCGGGACTCGAACCCAGGGCCTTCGGCCACGCGCGCAAACGCTTAACCTACTAGACCACTGAGCCGGCATCCAATGGTGATAGTGTCTAACGCCAACCAATCCACGAAATTTAGCGACCAACTTCCATTGTACTGAGGTAGATACCTGTCTCAACCCGACATGGACTAGCTCCACTGGTCACGTCTCACTAGAATTCCGAGAATTCCCTCAAGAAGCTAGTTACTAGTGAGCACATGTTGATTAACTAGTATAGGGCTTGTGGAGATTATTAAGTTTTTGGTTGAGATCATTTATGTCACAGGAAAATATTGTTGGAATATTAAATGAAAATTAGATAATTAACACTTCTATTCTGTTCGAAAGATTTACATTAACACTTGTCGATGGTTTGTGTCAACATTAGATTCATACTATTAATAATTCATATCGACGATGCTAGTTTTTGAATATCAGTATATGGATATACTGGCAGATCTTTTTAAATTGTATGGACTGATGACATGATAAAGCCCGTTTCATGATGTCATGATTCGTTGCATAAAACTTGTCTGACACAACTACTACGTGAAATATTCATATAAATATTCACGAGACACTTGATAATTTGATCATCGGAGACACTAGTTTTTGTGATTGTGTTGTGTCAAGAAAACACTAACAGTAGGGCCTCGGAAAATGGCTATAAGCTATGTTCGGACTTTTCCATGTACTTAGGGTGGTAGTTATGCATTAGATATTGCAATTCGATGACTGTTGTAACTGGTCAGGATAAAACTATAATAACTTTAGAATTAATCTTATAATCAGAAACATCATATCCTCGATAGTGCCTGAAACATTTATAAAACTACAGTTAATATCACTTAGGCATATGAAACAGACCAGATTTGTAGGTAATTTTGCTAAGGCTCGGTTATGGTGATAAGTGTAGTTTAGACAAAAGAAATAGATTTCAGTTCAAGAAAACAATTTTCATAGTGAAACCGTCTGATCAGAATATATTGTTTTATATCCCTAAACAATTTATGCTAGACAACATGAAATTATTTGTGCTTTCAACGACTTTATTATAAAAAGGAGATTAATGTTTGTACAACAACCAACAAGGAAAATTCAATGGGATATCCATCTATCAAAGCAACTAAACACAATGCGCTGGATAAAATGATAAAGCCATTAGTAACACATTCACTGCCAACAATTCGTACTATAGCGTCTATAAAGTCATCAAATTCGGAAATTAATTTAATGACACTGTAAAACACGAACTTTCTTGCTCCAAGGTAGATACCACTGAGACGGTTTGTTATCATAGTGCAAGTGAATTTTCTATTCCTGTAGTTATCTAATACTCCCTATCTATAAATGGATTAAAGTTAGGTGGATATGTAGAAACCTCAAGCAAACTTTGTAATAGAAGGCAAATTATTTGTCTTGCTTACTTTGCCGTTCTCATTTGGACCTGGTTGAAGTGTAACTGAAGCAGGTGCGTCTGCAGGAAGCTTTAACAAATAAATGTATGTAAAACGAAACAACACGAGTTGATAAATATCCTGAAGGACAAATGATATGAAATAACTGACTATAACATAAGATAAAAGTTTATTTTTCAATATCTGAACACAAGTTTAGAAATCGGAACGAAGAAACTTCAGGAGATTTATTGTTTATTTCAAGGAATAGATCCTGTCTTCTCATATTCAAAGCCACTTTGTATACAAACGTTCATAATCATCAGAAATCTTTTCGATTATTCCTCAATTTACTCGTGTAAAAATACTAAGTCATAAAACAGTGAATAAAATGTGTTTTGTTTGACACTATAATGCATCCTTTTTTATTTCGAGAAGCATAGCAGTCTGAGTTAAATATCTCTTCTAGAAACACGATCACTGAAAGTTTGAATAGTCTGGTTAGTTAAACATTACCAAGCATTTCAAAACGTTGTCCAATACCAGTAAACTGTTTTCACAAACATGAAGTATATATCGCGCCTTAAACTTTTTAAATCATTTTTGAATACCCACTAAGTATTTTGTCAAAACAAATGTTGTACAAAAAGATATATATCCAACATCTTTGTGAATTTAACGGCAAGTTTTACTCATGATCCGAAAGAACAGTTGGTGGCTATGTATTAAAAAGCAGTTATTCAACCAATACAATTCTTATATTTCTCCACACTAAATATATTTAACGTGAACCAGTAGATGGGTGACGGGATAATAAACGAAAGCCAAGTTTGTCTATAAAATCACTGCATAAATAGACGGAAATTGAATTTAGGCAGATTTCAGAACTGGTTGAAAAAAATCAAGTGTTTTTTTGCCATTGTAATTAGCCCATAACACTCAACGTCTATGGTTTATAGAAGGGATGGTACTAAACCTCTCCACAAATATCCTCATTAAACACAGTTTTGAATTCATTCCACGCAAACAGCTGGCATGTTAATCCACTTTATGCCAATTGACATTTCAAGGTGATGCACAATATCTTATGTAATTTCAGCAAAGGTGTTCATGAGTTTGACTTGAAGTTTGTGAAGGTTAACCTTTCGTCAGAATTGTTTTGGAAACATAAAGTGTGCAATTATCATCTTATCAAGACCCGCTTTCCAAGCTATGTGTTGCAAAAATACATTTATGTACTCCAGCAATCTGTACTAGGTCAGCGAAACGCTTTTTAGTTAGCTGCACTTTTTCAAACAATCAAGACGCTTCTTTCGGTGAGTCTTCCTATTTCTATTTAGTTTGTTGCTTTTATTACTGAGCAACCACACGACCACGATGGGCAAAACTTTCCGATAGTTGAGTTATTTTGACATTCTTGATGCAAAAATTTGGCAAGTTACCTTTGGTGCCTAGGGACTATTTCTGGTACAAAATATAAATAACTCGAAGTTAAAAGCTTACCTTGAAGTAAAATGGAAAGGCATTACTTCCTAACTTTTTAATCAGACGTTCTTGTAGTCTTGTCAGTGGAAGAGTACCAGAGTGTAAACTATCATCTGTCCCTTCAGAAACTTCTGGACCAGGAGGCTTAGAATTTCCACAAACAGCTGTACTTGCCGGATTTAATAGAACCCTTCCACAGTTATCGGATACGGATGCATAAACTGGAGGGTAAACTTGAGCTGAGGCTAGATAGAGATCCTTGCGAAATGTCAACCCAAGTACATCCAAATCTTCACGTCCATAACGAAATGCTGATAAAACGTGAGTGAACACCTTCCGTCCCTTGACATACTCTGGGTCAACCAATACGACGCCCTCTGAAAAGTAGAAGTTGTATATAAATCACGTAAACTTTGAATTACGATTTCGTATATTCTGTTTGACTAATATGACTAGCTATGCTTATATTACTATATTACTTTTAATATTTATGTGAGGAAACTGAGAGTCCAACATGTAAATGTCTGTAATGCAGAAATAAAGTGCCATAACTTTAACTTTTAGAATGTTATTCTGTCGTCGGATATAATTTAAAGAAAACATTTGATAAAATATCTTTGTATCCACCTTCCAGTTTCTCAATTATAGCCAAAAACGGTTCCCCAATAAGCCACTCCAATTACACATATGGATTTAGAAGTGCAGTTGTCCTGCAACCAGATGAAATCATAAAAACACTGTAATAATAGATCATTCTAAATAAAATTTGGTTGGAATGAGGTTTTGAAATAAATAAGTACAGCATATAACATCCAAAAATATGTGGTTTCTCTGACATCGCGAAACTTTTGTTAGCAACTACAGACATGTAGTAAGTAGAACGAAAAGTTATTGATACTACAAGCTTGATATAAAGACAGTTAACATGTCATTTGTACATATTACACATAAAAGTATATTTCGAAATATACATTCTGAATTCGAAATACATATTAAACTCAAATAGATTACACAGGCCTCACCAATCGGATCTACATCTGCTAGACTGTCGATGAAATCCCTTTTGCACAAGTATGTTGTGATCTACGAGAAAATACAGTTAAAACCACTATTACTTTTCCATTTGGGCTGCTTTTCTTGAAGACCCTATAATAAAGAAGTAATGGAAAACTGCTACATACTAACCTGGTACCCTGTTTTTTGTGAAGATTATCTCCACTGTCATCCATAATATCATAGTGTATTTTAGCTAATTAACAAACTGTCATCTCCCACAACAAACGAAGACACCAATCGACGTCAAATTGGCGCTTTCCTTTCATTCATTACATTTAACCTAGGAGTTATTTCTTGGTGTGAGCAAACAAAATATCTGATTCGTTAAGAATGACTGTGTGTAGTATTTTGAGGGGGACAAAAATCAAAGATTAGAAACAGTATTTTAAGATGATATTGTTGTCTATCAAAAAAGCTGATGTATTTTGTGCAACAATCATACCTTTTTTCAACCCCTAGCACCAGAACTAATAACTTGGTTGGTTTTACTATCTATTATATGAGATCCAACAGAAGGATGTGATGTAAATGTAGTGGGTTGTTTGTTCTGTCATGGGAAGAAGAGGGAGAATTAGGAGTACTGGGCCAATATTCATGTTCGTTTGTCTTAGTTTCTATATGGATAGTGGGAGAAGAATGGTCAGATGGTAGTTTGGCGAAAGAAATATGTTTAGGAGTGACAGGTGGAGTAGAGTGGGTCGAATGGATAAGAAGGGTATTTCGGGAGTGGCCAGGAGGTTTAGCCAAAGAACCTTTTATAGTGGAGGACAGTCATCAATGGAGAGAAAGATATATCACTCCTCTTTAGGTTGGAGCGTATAAAGACTGGTCTTAAAAGAGTGGGATCATCGCCCTCGAGACTTCCCAGAAATACTGTCAAGAGTTGGAAACAAAAATGTGAGAGGTGGTGTTAATGTCGAACTGAGGAGACCAAAGAGTTTCGTAGAGCAGCTAGACTCGGAAAGTGTCTAGAATCACTAAGTGGGTGGCCAAATAGGCCAATGCTGTAGCTTTCTTGAGTACTTTGGATCATTACAGCCCTGTTATGGGTAGCTAAGCGTGTTGTGTGTTTCGGGTTAGAAATGAGACATTGTCTGAGATTATTGTCAAGGGAGGTGTTTCTATTATGTATGGTTGTGTTCTGATTCTTGGAACTCTCAATACTCACTCAAAGTAGGCGTGATGCTAAATAGGTATAGTCTAGCACTAGAATGAGTGGATGTTGTCAGTTCACAGTGTTTGTTTTAGGGTCATCTAGTGCTATCGACAGATGCAGGTTGTGAGCTATGTGTGCTGCATTCCTTGTGTTATTTCGCATTTCCGTGGTCGAGCAGCTACAGATATTATAACAATTTCTATGACATTTTAAGTCTTTTTGGACTTTTATCGAAGCATCTGGAGTGATAATGGGGAACTGTAAAGGTATAACTGGATTTAGATTCAAAAGTATTTGAGCGTTTTAGCTTAAGAGGAATGATTGCAGCTGCTTTGTGTACAGTTTTGTAATTTAGTGTTCGGGATTCACCGTTACATTACCTAGATATTTGTACGGTTATGAGTCGTGAATAGTTTGATTGAGGTTATGTCCCGCTTGACTGCTCTTAGAGTTGCCAATGATGAAAGTATTAGGGTTTGAAATAAAATTGTTATGGTTGACATGGTTGCCTGCAGACGTGTTGCAAGTGTCTATTGGGTGATCAAGTACACTAGTGCACATGTCTCTAGTGCTAGTTACTCCCGCTGTTTACTCGTGCTTGGTTGAATTTCTTCACTTTGACATTCAGAGCACTGGGCATAAATCACATTGCGTCAAGACCAATCAATGGACACCGTAATGCTTTGTTTTTATTAGACAGTCGGATCCTTCTGGTCCGTGCCAGTTCTGAGTTAGCCGTCACAAGCCAGACCATGGAAGTACAGCCGCTTGACGCATAGTGGAACATGTCCTCGCGCGTTGCTGGCTGTAGGACAGTAACAGCTGAAACTACTCACGATCGACCCGGGTCAGAGTTCAGTAACCTAACCACAACGCGCACCGAAGCACGCAAAGCAGCAAAAAAACCAGCCCCCAACTGGACCGACACGTACCTGACCTCGGTCTGTCTGACTCGGCCCTCAGAGCCAATCCTTCTCCCGAAGTTACGGGTCCAATTTGCCGATTTGCCTCACCTAAATTGTTGAATTGCCAAATGCTGTTCACCTTGGAGACCTGATGCGAATATGGGTACGGCCTGCCACGAAACTTATACTGCTTCGCTCAGATTTTCAAGAGCTGACAAAAGCGTTCCGGACACCACAAAAATGGTGGTGCTTCACGGAGGGTAGCTCCCTATCTCCGGACAAGCCGATTACCAGGGGGTGGATGAACTCCTAACAAACAAAAGAGAACTCTTCCCAGAACTCCCACGTCTCCGAGGTCGACTGCATTACCGCGCTGGGCGCACGCCGAACCAAAGGCCCGACACGCATCAATCTCCGTGGACAGGGTCGGGAATATTAACCCGATTACCTTTTGCTACAGGGGGCTGCAATGCAACAGTACTTTGCAGATTATTGAACAAAGCCCTCGAACGGACAATGTCAGGCACCCCTGTCTCTGTTCCGATTTACCGGATCACTTAGGATCGCCAGACCCATGGTTAACTGCTGTTCCCATGGAACCCTTCTCCACCTCGGCCATCAAGGTACTCACTTGAATATTTGCTACAAACACCAAGGTCTGCGCCTGTGGTTGCTTCACCTAGGCTTCCCGCAAGCCACAGCGACCCTCCTACTCGTTGCCGTTACTCCATACCTGAACCAAGTGCAGCTTGCCATCACACAGCATAGGCCCAGCTTACAGCAATGGTCCGGTATAGGTCCAACGCTCAAGCACCATCCATTTTCATGGCTGGTTGATTCGGCAGGCGAGTTGTTACACACTCCTTAGCGGCTTCCGACTTCCACGGTCACTATCCTGCTGTCTAGACCAACCAACATCTTTTGTGGTATCTCATGAGCATCGTGGTAGGCACCTTAATCGAACGTTCGGTTCATCCCACAGCACCATTTCTCCCTACCAAAAAATGGCCCACTTGGCACTCACATTCAATGCAAAACTCCAATTAAGCGAGTTCAGCTTCTCACCCACCGATAGTTTGAGAATAGGTTGAGGATGATTTCTCCCCAATGCCTCTAATCATTAGCCTTACGGGATAAAACTGTTTATTTCTCAGAATGCCAGCTATCCTGAAGGAAACTTCGGAGGGAACCAGCTACTAGATAGTTCGATTAGTCTTTCGCCTCTATACTCACCTTATACGATTGATTTGTACGTCAGGATCACTGCGGTCCACTAGAGTTTCCACTGGCTTTAACCTTCACAGGCATAGTTCACCATCTTTCGGGTCTCAACGTGTACGCTTTTGCTCCGCCTCGACGGTGCACACTACACGAGGTCACATATCTACGTCATGGGACGGAGCGGTGATGCCCCCGCTGTTCGCAACCTGGAAAGTACAAGCAAGACAACAGAATCTCACATCAGTCCGGACAAGCCGAACATTAACCGTCACTTCGCCTTTGGGTTTCGTAACACCCGATGACTCGCACACATGTCAAACTCTTTGGTCCGTGTTTCAAGACGGGTCGGGCAGATCGTCTACCACTACACTACAGACTATTGGCCCAATGCAAAACACACACGCAACCGCTAACGTGACGAAGTCAAGCCATCAGCCGACCAGCTGAAGGTAGTAACAAGCCGACAAGACTCGACAATGCCCGAAGGTCCAGGTACGCATGCGAAGCCGCCATCTCCAACACACCGCACAGATCCACTACAACCAGTTAGTAACTCACAGCTCATAGATGAGCCAAAGAGTCACCTGCCGACCCAACCAAGACTGAATACACAAGCTGAATACACAGAAGTAAACAAGTAAGTGAAGGGGAGCGTCAGAACTGAAAAACGTAAATATGCGGAAGATTTAGCAATGACGGTGGAAAAGGCTGTAAGAGAAAGAAACATGAGACAATTGTATGACTTAACAAAGAAACTCTGTGAAAATCACCGTAAACCAGAACGGCCAGTAAAAAACAAGCAGGGCAAAGTATTCACTAACATTGAAGAACAGCGAAACAGGTGGGTAGAACATTTCAAAGAACTCTTGAGTCGACCAGCCCCACTGAACCCACCTAACACCGAAGTAGCACTCACGGACCTCCCAACCAATGTTGCCCCACCAACAATTGAAGAGATCAGCATGACCGTCGGACAAGTCAAGAACGGCAAAGAAGCAGGACCAGACAACATTCCAGCAGGGGCACTGGAAGCAGACGTAACAGTAACTGCAAGGATATTCAACATTCTTTTCAATAAGATTTGGGATGAGGAACAAGTACCAAAAGACTGGAAAGTAGGACTTCTGATCAAAATACCAAAGAAAGACGATCTTAGCAACTGTGATAACTACAGGGGCATCAATCTTCTCTCAATACCAGGAAGAGTCTTCAATAGGGTGTTGTTAAATAGAATGAAGGACTCCGTAGACGCCAAACTTAGAGACCAATAGGCTGGATACTGTAAAGTTCGATAGTGTACAGACCGAATCCCAACGCTACAGATAATTGTGGAACAATCAAGTGAATGGAATTCATCACTCTACATCAACTTCTTTGACTACGAAAAAGCATTTGATATCGTGGACAGAACAACGCTATGGAAACTTCTTCGATACAACGGCGTGCCCCAGAAGATAGTCAATATCATATGGGATTCCTATGATGGATTAAATCACGCAAGCAGGACAGCCCATAGACTCGTTCGAGGTGAAGACTAGCGGCAGGCAACGTTGTTTGCCCTCAACCTTTCTCTTTCTCCTGGTGATCGACTGGATTATGAAGACGTCAACATCTGAAGGAAGGCACGGGATACAGTGGACATCTAGGATGCCGCTGGATGATCTAGACTTCGCAGATGATCTGGCCCTTCTATCGCAAACGCAACAACAAATGTAGGAGAAGACGAACAGTGTAGCAGCAGCCTCAGCAGCAGTAGGTCTCAATATACACAAAGAGAAAAGCAGGATTCTCCGATACAACACAACGTGTACCAATCCAATCACAATTGACGGAGAAGATTTGGAAGATGTAAAAACCTTTACATATCTGGGCAGCATAATTGATGAACATGGTGGATCTGATGCGGATGTGAAAGCGCTGATCGGCAAAGCACGAGCAGCATATTTACAACTGAAGAGCATCTGGAACTCAAGACAATTGGCAACCAACACCACGGTCAGGATTTTCAATACAAATGTCAAGACAGTTCTACCGTATAGGGCGGAAACCTGGAGAACTGCGAAAGCCATCACCCAGAAGACACAAGTGTTTATTAACAGTTGTCTATGCAAAATACTTCGGATCTCTTGGACGGACACGCTAAGCAACAACATACTTTGGGAGAAAACAAACCAGATTCAAGCGGATGAGGAAATCAGGAAGAAGTGCTTGAAGTGGATAGGACACACATTGAGGAAAGTACCCAGCTACATCAAAGATAAGCCCTCACATGGAATCCTCAAGGTCGAAGGAGAAGAAGAAGACCAAGGAACACATTACGCCGAGGAATGGAGACAGACATGGGAAGAATGAAAAAAATTGGATAGAACTAGAAAGGAATGCCCAGGACAGAGTGGGTTTGAGAATGCTGGTCAGCGGCCTATACTCCATTGGGGGTACTTGCGTAAGTCTGTAAGTGGACGCAAGGGATGCGTAGCTTGGCAAACATACTCGTGATCTGATGAGGATGCGTGGCCGAGAGCCTTCAGCCAGAGTGTGTCCAGTAAAACTAGTCAGGCCACTATCAATTTCGAAGACTGACGGAACTAATTATTTTGAGGATTTACCTCTAAAAGGGGTTAGTTGCTTCTGCCTACTCAAGAATTAATAAAACACGTGGTTGAGTATATGTTTTAGGCATTTTGTAGGTGCAAAGTACAACAATCTACAAAAATAAAATATATCCTCTTCTGTCTTTCAATTACAATTGACCTTCATATATACAAATGTCAACGCAGACAAATCAAGCGCGTAACGTAGTTGGGTTCGAGGTATCGGATATTGGGGGTCTTCGGAGAGTGTTTGCAAAACCAACTTTTAACAGTGAAAAATGTGAGGAAGACATCATTCTCCGTCTTACATTTTTACAAGCTTCGCTCGTTAGTTCTAACCCTTAAATACCAGAGTTTATAAATTTATAAACTCTACCAAGTTAATTTGGGAAATTGGTTAGTGTATATCTTACCATGATTGGATGCATTGTCATCTCACTAGAGTTTTGAGCCTTCCGAACTATCGGAATCCTAGTGAATAAAATCACTTTAGTTATATAGTTGGGTGGAAAGTAAATACAGTTAGACAATTGCCATTTGACAGTTAACTGTCACATGGCCTCATTTCTATTATTTGTAACTCGTAACTATTTTATATAATTTTTAACCCCTAAATCCCGTAGTACGGCCGAGAGTGGAGAGACTCAACTCGCCCTCTCGAAATGCTCTCACGTCCACGTGCCTACAACCACTGTCAAGGGAGTCCTACTCACTGCCTCCTCGCGGTATTACTGTTATTTACGGAATTGAGAAAACGAAAAGTGAATATCTGGAGCTTTGGCCGGGTTTGTGGACACAGAGATTCTACCTAGGTTGGAAAACCCTAATTCCAAACCAATGATGCACATGGGCTCCAGGATCCAAGGGCATATGAACCAATCGTTGGTCACCGGCAACCATGGGACTGCATCTCTTTACGTTGCTCCACTGCCTTGTAAATTAGACCTTCAGGTCAAAGGCTCGGGGTGTGACCCCTTAAGAGAACCACCTGCTTCGGTTTGGACACCTGGGCAGTATCCTAGCCCTCACACAAATCAAATGATTTATGTGGCGCATATCTATTTGGTGCCTTTCTGTACCTATGTTTATGTGTTTAAGAAAAACAAATTTTAACTCCAGAAACTTCAGCAAAAGAATATCACTTTGGTTCGCTTAACAATTCTAATATTTTTGAATTCTTCAGTTGCGAAAAATGTATCCAAAAATGGAGATACGGCTACTAGCAATATGCTGGAAAAAGTTAACATTATATCCTCTGAAGCTGCCAGCAAGATGAAACGTGCAGTTTTTGAAAATTACAAACTGTTTATTAAGGCTGGTAAAGCCGCTAGCCAATTAGAAAATACAATGCACCAAATTCACAACGAATTTACTGAGAAGCAACGTGTAATGAATACTCTTACTGAGCTATCTTTATTTAACGGTAAGATGTTCTTTTCTAAGTTGCTTGTTTTTCTGTATGTACATTGCACTAGATAGTTCAGTGGCTTATTATCCTAATAGAGTAAACTGAACTTTCAACTGAGACGTCCAGTATCTGTAGCCACTACAATTCAATTAGCAGTATATTTACGATTAGTCTCACAAAGTACGTATCTTTGTTTGGTTACTCCTCAACTTAGTTCTAGTATGTTTACAGTTCATGATTAGGCTAGATCATGAGCTAGGTCATGATTTTGATAGTGATATCGTTTACGGTTAATCTACTCATGATCTTCAGTGGGCGTAACCAGTAAAGCAACCCAATTATTTTGGTTTATGACAGTACCATATGGTTTGTGTTTTCTTCCTAGTACACTATCTCAATAGTTAGCTTAGTAGCTTTCGTAAGAAGAGCATCAACTTAGTGTTTACTCATTCATTTGATCATAAAACAGTTAGTGAATCTTATGAGTTATGTGGAGAACCTGTTTAAAATGATTACCGCACCAGATTTGTATATTTATATTTTCACAAATGAATAAACTGACTCCTATGTTAATGAACTCTTGTAATCAGTCGATTGATTAATTAGTGTCGATTTTCCATTGTTTTTATGAGTTTTTCAAAGACGTTTCTTTTGCTAAACCGGATATGGTGATTCCATGAGGTTGGAAAAGTGTTGAAAATACGGCAAAATTAATCTTTGTCGATACTAAAGTATCTCCTGACATTGAAATAGGTATTTACTAATAACTATGTATTCCCACAATGGCCTGAGATCTTTTTATCGTTCATTCTATGGGCTTCTTATGTAATACAAGTGGCTGCACAGCCGTCATTTCGTGATCTTCAGATAAATAGTTTTTAGAGCTACTATATTATTATTTGTGAATACACTTATCGACAAGTCATGTAATGGGAGCTTATTAGTGTTCCTTATTTATTGTTGCCCATTTTATGGTTGAGGTGGATTATCAATTTTAAATAGTGGCCTCATAAGGGCCGTAAGTATTGATTACCAGATTATGCTGTTATCATAAACTTAAAAGGTCTTGGTTCCTATTCTAATTACTAACGAAGTAAAAGTAAAATCTAACTTCAGTATTTTTTCCTCATTACTTATTTTAAGTGAGCTTCGCAAACAACAATGTATTGCTCACTAATTTCTAAGACGTGTGACAATATTAGATCAAATTGTTTGCTTTTTCATGTTTTCAAGACATTATTACTGATGTATCTGCTTCAGAACGTGCTGTGTCCATATCACAGGTTGATGAAAAAACTGAAAACTTACCCTGTAGTGAGCATTCTGGAATTTCGGCAACCCAATTGGCCGAACTGGTAGAGGGAGCTTCCGTAAGTTTATTTGCTTTCAAAATTTAGACATGTGTAATCTAGATTGATATATTAGATATATTTTTCTTGCATTTGGGATTATTCACTGAATGATGCATTTATAAGCAATTTGAAAAAGGTTTATGAAAGCGCTTGAAATCATTACTTTTATTTTCATCTTAACATAATCCTTAGAGCTGAAAATAATTTATCGATTGTGCTTTTCGATGCAATCTTTGGTTATAGAATTATCAGTTCAGCTAGATATACTGGTCTTTTACCATATCAGTTTATTTGTTACTAAGTATTTATTGGTCAAAACAAGCTACATATTTGTTCTGGTCACTCGGTTGTTATTTTCCATTCTTTCCAGTAGCCCCCAAATGCCCTGGTATGGCGTTGGTGTCGCACTAAGCGCTAGAGCTGAGGCAGCACTAGTCGATTGGATCCCCATTAACAGTCAGTTATGTGCTGTTAGGTTAGAGAGTTCCATCAAAGTGAGAAGCGATGTCTTTTCGTCATCTCCGCCTATGTCCCGACAGATTGCAGCTCGGATGCAATCAACGGTGAGTTTTACCACCAGTTATCTGTTCTTCTCCAGAAAGTGCGTTCGACAGATATTGTGGTACTAGCCAGAGACTTGAATGCTCAGGTCGGGCGTCTAGGCACAGAAGAGAGTCGTTTAGGTGGCCGATGGGGACTCGTTGGTCGCAGGTCAGATAACGGGGACCGTCTACTGCAACTGTGCACAGACCACAACCTGTTTCTGGCTAGCACTAACTTTCGGCACAATCATCGCCGATGCGTCACGAATTGTTATGTCCGGTTGTCGCTAATTGTTACGTCGGAATCGCTTGTCACTTATACTTGTAAGATGAAGAACCGTTGCAATTCCTATGACGCTAAAGTAAGAACACAAAAACTGGTACAAGTGAAGATTTATTAACCCCAAAACACGACGACGACCCTAGTCGATAATATACTCATTTATGTATTGATTGTACACCTATTTCAATTATTAATTAGGATGGAATCACATAAATAATAGTCACAACAAATCATATGCTACATGTCATGCTGAGCATACTTCATGTTAATTCAATACAAGAATACCGTATCTTGAACAAAAATCACAGAATAAAGGAATGTAATTTTGCGTTTTAAACCCAACATTCTATTGTGCGACCTATTGAATAAGTCTATATTACGTATTTGGCCACGATACAGAATAGACTGCCCCATTTGAAGTTTATTTACGAATTATCTTTAAGATAAACTGTTGTAAAATCTCAGTAGTGTACCCCATCTTTATCCCTTCAGGTTGTTGAGGAATGTCAAAAGATTTTCCCAAGTATGATTTACGAAACCCCACGGTTTTTCTTCTAGATTGCAACCTGTTGTTTTTCTCATATGAGTTTTACGAAAGGCAGATTTATTCTACCTGTATGTTTCTATTTATTATGGAAATCTTAACGTCCACTTCCGTACAAACTGTGGTTAGGAGTTTCGACACCTATAATACACAGTTGATATAAGTAATTATTTGTTATCGCTCATTTTTATAGATCAATCTGGTTTATCCATTTTAATTGGTAACCTTGTGCTGATGAGTTATGAATGTTACTGATTGCTGCTAGTCACCATCATAGACTAAAAGGAGGTCTCAATAATGCTTTCTACTATGAAGTTCACCTATTTTTAAAGGATGCTTAATTATTCCAATTTACACTTAATACTTTACCCCTATTTCATGCTTTTACGTTACTTCTTAACTTAACACTGGCTTGGTGAGTTCATGCTCCATTCTTTCCTTCATATTTCTAGTGTCACCCGTATCAGTGGTTTAGAAATACAGTTTTGAAACCCTTTTGATCGAATTAGTGTCTATAAATGTGGATAATCTATAGGTATTCGCTTTTAGTTTGAGATTATGTACCCTAGCGACGCCAAGTCATTAAGCAGAACTTTCCCGCTGGTATAAATAATCATAAAACAGAATGAATTAAATCCATTGATCAACCATATAAAAGCATTTGAGCAGATTTGAATATGGTCATAGTTATTTAAAAATAAGCATTTTCTTGTATCCGTAATATTAAAAATCTTCGTTTTGTTAATATTTGATATTTTCGAACCAGGTTTTGGTCGGGGATTCAAGTCGTCGTGTTATATTTGATGGGGATCTGCGCGAATTAAGTATGAATGATTTCACTTTTGTTTGCATGGCTCGGGTCTTTGTATTAACAGATACTTTGGTTATTGCATATCACAGTCAATCTGGTTCGTAAGTCTTATTAAAACTAATACTTCAGCTATGAGTATTCACTTATTTCAAGTTATTAGATAGATCAGTTTTCCATTTTCATTTATAGTCATAGTATACAGTTGATATTGTCACATATCCCTCTTTGTTTGAATTGTGGTTAACGGCACATGTAATACAATAGACAATGGTGAGCAACCATTGATCTCTCTCTGAGTTCCACTTTCATCCCTACCAATCCAAACCATTTTCATTGAGCATTTTATGTTTATGTAAGATTTTTAATTCCTTAACTACTGCCATTTAGCTAGCGGCTTTATCTTCTGGGGTATATTCGGCTAGGATTTGAGGAAAATTTTCCATTTTACCCACTTCAGTCATTTCATTAGTGTGAACACTTACTTGTGTTCTGTCATAACAACATGCTTCGAGGTTCTTAACTTTATTGAGTAGAACCAATTCGATTTTTGGAGGATAAATTCGAAACTTTTTAGTGATTAAGAAAATCAACGCAAATTGATCATCAAATAAATAGGAATACATTTAAAAGATTGGTCATCACTATCGAGACAGATTTTCATACATCAAGAGTTTACCTTAAATTAAGGCACTGGGCTAGGTCCTATTGTAGAACAAATATATCTGCTATAGATGAACAACATGGGTGAATTGCATTTATACCTAGTAGTCAGTACTTGCTTGTCTTCCTATGTATTTTGCGTAATCAGTGTGTAGGCATTATTGAGGGCTACTAATCAATGGTTAATGTACAATCAAAACATGTTACTTGTCCTAACTTATTTACTATCAATATATGATGTTAGCTGTAATACATGGAAAGATTATATAGTAGGAAAGCTTGAAGTCAAGAATATATAATATGAAACTTCGTGTTGATTTTAGATTTAACAAGTTATCCTAGGTATGACTTGTTAACACAAATTTTACTTCCGTTTACAGCTCGTACCCATATCGTCTTCAGTCAACGTATGATTTGAACAACTTTGCTGTGGCTAATTTTCCTCCCATGGATCGCCTTCAAACTCCAAATAATGCGTTTAAATTAATAGTTTTTCCTACTAATCGTCTTTTCCAAACTGAAACACCCAGTGACAAGGTATTAATAATGATTGTATCTGCCAAATAATCGGTTCGCTTTAACTTATTTATACGTATTAAAACTACATTCCTTGACATCTGAACAGTAATCAATGTTATACTTGGCTTATTGTCCCAATTACAGTGCTTGGATTTAAAAGTAAATTAAGACAAACTACAATATTTTTCGAGTTGTGCAATTTATGGACACATCTTCCAGCTTGTGATTTTTCATAAACTTCATATATACATACATTTATTCATAGTATTGTCCGAGTTTCCAGTTTTCATCTTCAAATAATAAATTATGTGCTTAATATGAAATACTGTATGGACTGTCATTCCATCAACACTTCATTATATTAAAATAATCCACGCATTTCAGAAGACCATACTTTTGGTCAATGTTTTAAAAGAAATTCGTTCGTCAAATACAACTTTATACAATTGAATCTAGCCACACTTTTCGTGTTAAGGCTGTAGATACTAACTGGTAGGGGAAAGGGTTTTCAAATATGCTTATTACTCAAATCTCTCTGAAATTCTTAGAAAATATTTCGGCGAATGGTTTAAAACAGTCTCCGATATTCCTGTTTCTCCACACATCAGTTCCATGAGATTATGTTTTGTAATATTCTTCAATATAAAACTACAGAAACTAGTCGAGCTGTTTTCTTGAAACGACAGAAAATCGTCAAATCACCATATAAATTTGAATAAGCAATTTTAGGAAACCGTATCAGAAACATCCTCCCCACTAAGCCTTTTATTTTTCACTTGTTTGAAGTTAGTTTCCCTGATGTAACGTATCCACCTGAAAAAAATAAGTTACTGTTTGTCCTATTTATTTCTGTCTAGATAGTTACGTATTATCATTAATTATATGGTTTATAATTGCTTGTTTTGTATCTCTGTTAGAAACTTGATCTTGTGTCTTTTATTTGTTTTATCCATGTAACTCTATTTTGTTCATTTTATTTTAGAAACGTTGGTTAACATTACTGGATGAAGCGATGCGTAAATATCGAAATACTAATTCGTATGTTGCATCAAATTTAAAATCCGATTCCCATATTACTACAAATTCTTATGACGTTTTGGATCACAATTCTATGAAGTTGAGTATGTTACCTCCAAAGGTATCTGCTGAAGCTGTTGTTGCTGGTCATAAAGCTTTGTCTTCCACTTTACCTGATTGTGTAGACCTCTTAACACCTATCGATAAATTGGACTTGTCTGCTAAAAAAAATCCTTTTGATGATTCCCATGAAAGTAAGTTTCTTTGGTAAATGACATGCCATATTTCGTTAAAATGTAAAACTCATTTTCTGTTGTTAATGTAATTCGTCTTCATACTCGTCCACCTATCATTTGTGCGTATTTCATTTCTATTGTTCGATCATATGCACTTGTATAAAAATCTTGCTATTTTGGCGCTTTCGGGGTAAATAATACACAATTCATTCCATAACGATAACAGTACATCTCAGGAAGTTTCCAAATAATTTGTTAGCATCATTATGTTTTAGCGGTCCAGGGCTACATTTTTAAAATTCGAATCATGTCAATCATTGTCTTCCGTATGAAATAGCAACATTTGAAAACTTCTGAAAATCAGGCAGTATCCATTGTGGCACGAAGCTTATCAATCACACATCATCAATTATTCTGTAATATAATAAACTGGAAACCAAATTCTCTATATCTGCTTCATTCGGCGCAATTCATCTCTGGTTTCATCCGTAGATATCCATCCTCCTTTTTTAAGTATTAGTGTTTTATAATGAAAGTAGTTTCTCTCACTCTCAGCAACCTCACATTTAATATTTATTTCAAAGTAAGTTTTCCGAAGTTGTTACTGAAGGCTATTACTTGTGTCATCAGCCACGATTGGGCAGAAATATCCATTAGGATCATTAGATAACGACTTAGTCATGTTAATAATTACCTAATGTCCGAAAATCTTAAACATTATTTACAGATTCACTTTCTGTAAAGCCGAATATATGTTAGATAATTCAAACGTTTAGGTCTTCATTCTTGAATGAAGCGACAGATGTCAAATATTTATTGCTTAATTGCTATTGGATTGTAATAAAAGTTCCTCTTATAATTAATCAACGTTTCATGAAGTTGTCTGTAACTATCTTTATGCTCCAATCATTTAAATATCCAATTGTTATCTAGCTTCATTTTTCTTATTCATGGATATATGGATGGAATTCTTAAAATAACCTATTTATTGTTTTAGTTCTTCAAAATGCACTTATTAAAATCTTAAATTGTTTTCCTTTCTATTGAAAACGTAGCTGTTAAATCTCCCATGGCAAAAGTTGGAAGTCATAAATCTCGACATAATTGGTTATGGGATGTACCAGAAGATTTAGATGTAGCAATTTCTGAACGAAATTTTCAACGTGCTACTAATTTAATTGTAAAAGCTAAAGAATCATTAAATCAAATACTGACTGGTGATATATCAAAACCATCTATGGATACAAATATACAGTCATCTAATTCTAGTACACCAGGTCAAATATCTGATACTGTTGATCATAGATCTAAAACAGATTGGGAGAAATTATCTAAGCGTATTGAACGTAACGAACGAAATCTTACAGAATCTTTGCAATATGAATTAGTATCAGCAGCTTGTAGACATGGTATGTAATGCTTGGAATCTGTATTTGTTAATGTTATTTCTATTTAGTGCTTGATATTTTTAGTTAATTCTAAACCTACTCAGTCATTAACATAAGATTAATGATAACAATCGGTCATTTGAATATAATTGGTATCATATGATTTGATTCTTAATTTCTCCATTACACTATTTCCTTAAAATTTATTTTTCATTTCCGTTTATTTGTTAAAAATATTTCCTCTCTAAAGGCGCTCCTAAATCCGTGAAAGCAGCTGTTTCTCAATTAGGTTTACTTGGTAAAGCATCTCTTGCAGCTGAATTATTTCTAGTTTATCGTTCACAAGTAATGACAAAGTCTTTAACACATGGTGTACATCAAGAAGGCAATCAATTAATCTATTTAAATAAATTATCGCTTACTTTCCATCGTAATTTAGCTGAAACAGCTGTAGAATGGTGTCAAAGTGTAGTTAAACCGTTGGGTGAAATTCTTGCCTCAAAAACTAATGGTATATCACCGCAACAATTTGAAAATATCTGTTCTTTAAGTAAGTTTACATTGTAAGCGTTGCTTAAAGTCACATTATAGTATGTTAGTTTTAAAATGTTCTTGAATTGTCCAGTCATTTTATCACATGGAGTTTACAATTTCCCCCATGATGTTAATAAGCTTCCCTTATTTAACATTGTCTTTCATTTCATCTAATAGAAACTGTTCTCCAACTCATTTATTTTAGTTATATATTATTGCTTAGATGTATTTTGTAGTTACTTGTTTGATAATTATTGTTTGTTTATTTATTTGAACACATAAATATTGGTACAAGGGGGCACCAGCTACACATGCGCCACACGATAGTGATGAGAATGGGAAGAGATAAAAATGTATGGTGCGTGTGAAAAGAAAAAAAGAACAATGATACTTTCAATTGGGTAATAGAGTGTCTTTAATTCCAATCTCAGAGATTAGTACCCAATAGTTACTAAAATATATTGTAATTGTAATTACAAAACGTTTATTTTCGTTTTTAGTTTTGATTGTGTTTTGCATCATTACTACCAACCACTTGATAATTTCTCGCTTTAGGTAATTAATTGACGAAAATATCATTATTAGTTTCATGAGATCCAAGTATACATATATTGTAAACAGTTTAGAATGTTGAACGTAAACTTGGAAATTTTATTTTTTTTACTGCCATCGGTTTCGTGTTATCACTGTATAAAACCATCCAAATATCCGATAAATTATCATTTATCAACATTGTGGATGTTAATTAGTTTGTTGGAGGAATTATTAGGGTTTTTGTTATTTTATGTTTGGTTTCGATTTTTCTAGTTACCATTAATTGTCTGTTGCAGTCAGGTAGTATATTTCTAGAAACAACTAACTTATCGCCATCGATTTTCACTTATTTTTCTTTATTCCGTCTTACTCTGTTGTTAATTATAAACTCTCAAATTAGGTATCAAAGATAAAGCAGATTTATAAAGTCTTTTTGCATAATTTTAAATTGGTACTTAAATTAACAGATATGGCTTGAGATGTTAATTTCATGATTGGAGGTATCTCTTGTCCAAACGCCACAGGTCTTGAAAAATCATTAAAGTACTTACAGTGTCTTCACAGACTATTCGCTCATAGAACAGTTCTTTTAATTGAGATTGATTTGATTTCAGAAGACAGAACCAGAAACCAATTGATTGATTATTTCTCAGTGGAACAACTCTGTTATTTAATATTATTGTTGTAATTCTTTAGGTATTGACCTTTTAATGTCTTGTATCAGGAATGAAACTGTTAGTTATCACTGTAGATTAGACGACTACTATGTAATGGCTCTTCAGAGAGACAGCCACACTCGGAAATAAGAAAAGAAGTCTATGTTCTTCTTTAACCGATCAGCCTCCTCAATGACAGCTCTCTGCTAATCATTGACAAGTTAAACGCACGTAGAACTGATTCAAGGAACATGTTCTTCGCTTGCTGGTCTTTTAATCTCTTTAGCTGGTTTTCATAATGAATTTACTTTTGTTTGCAGTCTTCAGTTCATATGCCTCATGTCCTCTGCGGTCCAAAATGTACTTGCTCCTTCGTTTATCACTTTCTTTCTCACAGTTTTAGATTGTATCAGCTTACTAGACAATCTTTTTTTATCAGTTTTGTACAACGATCCTGAGTGAAATCGATTGCATTTATTCATGGTGCATATTTCGAAACATTTCAATGGTTGTGCATAAACAGGTAAAATTTGTCTCCTCAGATTGTCTTATAGGTTCTCAAGAAATAAGGTTTAACACATCTTTCTTCCTTACATCTGAGTTGCTGGAGGTGTAATGATTTGTGTTTTGTACGCAGAAACTGTTATGGTTCTCAACTAAACGCCTTATTGATGCAGCTACTGAATGAGTCACACATTACTATTCTTAAGCTCCAAGTGTCTTACTATTTCCAAAAAATAATACATGGTAAATAAATACGACCCGGATAACCGACCAGATAGTTTTCAGTGTGTTCTCTCTGAATTTCAGATTTAATGCAATGGTTAAAATTCTCGAAACGACAATTAAGGTAAACTTTGACAGTCAACTGTGCTTAATTTACCGGGGCATCCAACATTTCTCGATAACTTTGTCAAAAAGCCAATTAATTGATAAAAAAAACCAAATGGGATTTACAAAAGCGATTATGGTCACCAATACATGGGACTACTTTATTACTCACTAACTTAAAATATTTAAAAATCTCGGGTAGGAAAATTTTCATGCCGTAATCATAAGAAACGAAAGACTCGTTTTATTTTTAAATAGTTTAACAAGATTTATTTTGAAATATTTCCATTCCAATTTTTATTAAAAAGGCTTTACTTATTTTAAAAAAATAGAATTTTATAGTTGGACATTGGATGAGACTGAGAAATTCGGTCAACAACTTCGTGTTCTACTGATCGATAGTCATGCAGTATCATTTTATTCAATGGCTTATGCTGCTCAACGAATTAAGGCACATGCTGATAAGGTGAGAAATTAGTAAAGTTTATCTAAGAGGACTGAATTTTTTTCATGCCTAAAAGGATGGGTTGATGGTTAGAGTATTCGGATTCAAACCTAGAGGTCATAAGTTCTAACATTCCTCCGCCTAGTGCGACTTAGACAACTGCGTAATATTACTCATTAACTCACACAAAGGCGTGGTTCAAACCTAAGGTTTTAATATAACTCACTTACCAAGTACCGTTTCTTATGCTAAACTTTTGAACCACATTGTTTTTGTGTAGGCCTAGTGATAACACTTGGCCATCCAGACGGAATTAGGTGGAGAGGCTCCGAGCTATTGGTTGAAATCCGCATAGATGAACCTGCACTTAGTAGATGTGGTTTGTAATCTCTCCTATTATTATTGAATATTTTTATTAAGATATAATAATTGTTATTAATTCGCTTGTTAAAAAGCCTTTCAGTTTCTTTGTATACATTTACACATCTAATAAAATATCTGTTTGACCTTAATATGTATTGATATTTGTAATTAGTCATATTCGTAGTTATATTAATTGTTTTTATCTTATAAAGTAAAAAAAATAAGTACATATTTGCTATCGATCATTTATGCTTTCCACACAATTAATACATGCAGAAAGGAACCCAGGAATATTCTATTATATTTAATCAATGGTCTTTCATATGCTTGGCAATTATGATAGTTCGTTATAATTCTTTTTTTTTCAATGCACCATTGTGTATTGAATTACTATTATACCTAAATTACTATTGTAAATTAAAACAGACATGTATTGTTTTTCTTTGATTAGCTTACTGAATTACTGAGTGTTGATATTTCTTCTACTCTCAATCGAAGCTTATCACGTGCATGGAAACGTGCTGCTGATGAACAGTCACGTTTACTCTGTGAAGCTGTTGAAAATCGTGCAAAAGTAACTATCGTATTTTTCAGTCCATAACTTGCTATTTTAATAATAGAAAACTGATGTCAATAAAGTTTTGCTTACATTATGCTGCTTCTTGAATGTCGTAAAAGAAAAAGATCAATCTCATAATTACTGGTCAAGTTACAACTGGTTTTAGTCATCAAACTTATGGTAAAAAAAACGAGAGAATATGTTAGTTGTTGTGTAAGATACTTCGGTTCGTTCTCAACCTGGTTCTCCTATGTAGATGCAGAACAGAGGCGTAATACAGTGCTCGTGTTTAATTTTAGCTTGTCTTTGTTACATGCCACTCACCAAACGAGAGTTATATTAAGAATCTTACATCCTATTGAATCATTTAGACTGTGAACTTGACCGCTACTATCACGATGTGGTGATCAAGCTTACTTATTTAAGCTGTAATACTGAAAATTCATATTTATTAAGATCCTAACAAGCTAGAAAAATTGACTTTAGTATTTCAGATTGAAAAGCACCTCTTTTCAGAGTGTAATTAGTTTGGATAAGAAAAAGTTTTCAATTATGAAATCGTACTTTTGGATCAACTGAAATATCACAGTCGTAAGATATTTCTTATAAATAACTCAATCATGTTGTCCTCTCTCTTTGAATAGGAGGGGAGTAATTAAAACTGACGCTGAGGTTTGCAAAACATACCCTTACCGCTTATCTTTTGTTTCCAATGACATGATTCTTTAAAAGAGAAATAAAACTCTCCAAGTACCGTCACATCTAAAAACGCTATGTTTGACCAATGATTAGCAAGTATCGTCTGAGTATCCTCCAGTTGACCAATTACAAGTGTCGGCTATCACTCACTAATTCAGATTTACTTTAGCTTAAACTTTCCATCTATTCATCAGCAATCATCTTTATCAGTGTTTTTTGTCCTGTCTTCGTTACCGTCTCCGTTTTAAATATCCATTTTATAGTTTCCGCTGTTTTCAAAGTATCATTTCTCGTCGCATTAAATGACAGTTGTTTATTTAGTACTGATGATTCCAACATCTACAGGCTATATCCTATTTAACAATGGACTTATGTTAGGAATCACATTTTAAGATAAGGGTATTTGTTATGCTCTTTGGAATGAACACGGAAGATTCACTCGAACTTGTCTAGTTGGTATGATGAATTAATACCAATCTCTCAATGGCCCTATAGGATTATAAGTAATCGGTTCTTGTTAACTGTCCGAAGTGTGGATACCATTCAGTTTTGGACATTTGGTGATCAATCGTTTAAACAGTTTTCCTTTGAACGGACCTGTACGAACTGAGAGCACTGTAAATTGGAACAAAACCTATAAGTAACATTTGGTTATACACCTGATTGCAGTTCAAATAACATAATAAATGAGTTTTACTGAATTTCCTGTAGTATTTCTTCGAGGACTCTAATATATAAATGTACCTTAATTTAAAGGCTGCTGTACTATGGAACTGATAAAAATGTGAATTGTATTGATTTCATCTTCGGAGTTATGCGCGGACGAATAACTAATAGTAAGTGTCTCTTGCGATTTATTTCAAGTTGAACAATTCTGTCTGTATAACAATGGACCTTATGTCACGACAAAAGTAGCAAACTAAACGTGACAACAATCAGTCAAATGACAGCCAAAGTCACTGTGAAGATATGAATTTAAAGACGTTATCGCTATCATTTTCATAGAAAAATTCCAACAGTCATTTACAAGAAACTGAGGCGTCATTAGCAATTCCGTCGCATATTAACGAATGAGTTGGTAAATGCAACTTTACACTCCTGTTTGCCTATTTTGATTGACTCAATTTTACTCATACACAACCGTGACTGGTGATAATTGTAATATAAATAAATGTTCACACTACCATACACCACACCACGGTATATTCTGATATTGTTTACAAACAAATACATACACTTCTCTGTTGAACGTTAAAAATAAATTTTTCATTCTCTATTTTGTAGTCACTTAATATACACGTGAAGATTACAGTTAAAGTACTTGTCAGTGTATATAGTGTGTTTCTGATTTATTTTCTCAGCAAGAATCTTGGGAAACTTTATCAAATCTACCTAAAGGGGAACAAGATAAAATCATTGCAGATCTATTGGAATTTGGAATACTCAACCAATATACCGCAGCTGATTGTAAGTTATATTTTAAACGTGTTGTTCATTCATATATATAAGGTCCCTTAATTTATGTCCCCTTATTTATGTCATGAATTCTTGTCAGGTACTTACAATCTAGAAACAATGATAATAATTTATATGTATCAATGCTGAGGTTGGACTTTATAGTTTTCAATGAATTGAACATTTTGTAGGAAGTTAATAATAAATGTATTATTGCGATATTCCAATGAGTAGAAAATTGTATTTCTGACATTTCGTGACTTAATGTAAGAAGTAATTTACATTATGTCACGAAACGTCAAAAATACAATCTTCCACTGATTGGGATATCAAAAAAATATATTACTAATGGTAATAGTTATTTTAAAAAATTGTAGAAATGCTCGAACAGTTGATTTGTGTAACTTCTAAAACACTACCCACCCGCCTAAACCAAAGCAGGGGTTTTTCTTAAAATTTACCTCCCTGAGGCTTTGACCTAGAGGTCTGGTCCACAAGGCAGTGGAGCAACGTTAGGACATGCAGTCCCATGGTAGCCAGTGACCAACAATAGGTTCATACACCATTTGTTTCCTCAGGATACTGGAGCTCATGTGCACCAATGTTTTGGAATCAAGGTTTGCCAATTCCTCTAGATGAATCTTCCATATCAGACTTCTACACTACCTTAATAACTTTGGTTTATAACATTTAGTGAGGTTAATATCTTTTTTTCTTTATGCTGTCAATGCTGAACTACTTTTTTCATTATTGTGTCTCTTTTAAACATATTAATTTATTGATCTTTACAGTCATTATTACACAGTCTTATCATCACTTTTCATTTTCTAGAAACTTGTCTTTGTATATTTTAGGTTTTTCTTACGTCTACGATTTTCATGTTGGTTAACATTGAAATATTTAATGGTTTGGACATTTTGTAAATCCTTCACATTCACTAGACTATATACACTTTCTCGATGCACTTGTGTTATAGTTCTTAGTCAGCTTGATACAGTAATTTTACTGCTGAAAACTGAGACACAAAACATAAATACCGGCAAGCATTTTGAAGTATCTCAGTCAGCTACAACGTAGGACCAGGCACATACATGCATCGGTCCAAGTTGCCATACCTCATTAGCACAGCAAAATGAACACCGAATTCATAGTAGTTAATTTAATGGTGGTAATATATAAAAGAAAGATTGTATATAAGGATATAGTACAAGAAGAAAATATTAGTTCGTAGAAAGAAAGATATCAAGCGATTTTAATCTCAACGTATAAGGGAAGACAGAGAGTGTATACACCGACTTCCTTGTGATCGATTCTGAGCCATTTCACTCAGAGTTTCCAACCATTGCTACAATAGTCACGTGGACCCCAACCAAGTAGTCTGCATCTACCAACATGGCCCAGACCAGAAGTTATTGACTTCAAGGACTGATACCACGTTTTGATTTGGCTGCCCCTTAATTTTCTTCCAGCCGTCCCCAACAGTAATCAGGATTGCGCGTCGTGGTAATCAGTTTTCAGGCATACGTAACATGTGGCCCATTCATCTCAGTCGATGAAGATTCACAACCTCATCAACTAATTTACCATCATTCCCTAATACCCTACGTCTAACCTCACTATTATTTACCCGGTGATCCCAGCAGATGCGAGCAATATTTCTAAGGCATCTGTGGTCAAATACTAGTAGCTTACGAATATCTTCTACTCTTAATGGCCACGTTTCGCAGCCGTAATGTAGAGCAGAACGAACTGCTGCGCAGTATAGTCGTCTTTTAATTGATAGGCGGATATCTCGCCTTCGCCATAGGTGACGTAAGTTGTCAAAAGCCAAACGAGCTTTTCGAATCCATGCTGAGATTTCGTCAGACGCAAACCCATTATGGCTGATCAGACTTCCAAGATAAGTGAAGTTGCGACCCGTTCAACTACTTCACTCCCTATCCTTAGTTCAGGTGTTGACGCAGACCAGTCCTGCATTTAGAGGTGGAGAAGCGCATCCCAAACATCCTGGCATTGTTGCTCAGTGTTACCAAAAAATTGCGTCTTATCACCTTCTTCACCAAACTGGACTGTCATCTGAGTATTCTAAGTCAATAAGCGGACATCCTGCTAGGAGATCAATGTCCGAAAATTCAGTCGATGAGAGTGATATTTCCATCAGTATGACTATGATAAAGTTTAACAAAAATGGAGAAAGTGGACTGCCTTGACGGATACCACTTGAGGTTGCAAAATCAGATGACAGTTCGCCATAAGCTCTGACTCGATTAATAGTGTTCGAGTAAAGAGCTTTCACACGGTTTATGTACTTTTGAGGTACACCTTCAAACGAAGTATCTACTATTGATTATTTAAGTCTACAAAAGCTTTTGCAGGTTGGTAGTTTAATTATTTATGTTGCCATGCAGTCAATTATTTGAAGTCTATTTTTTTATCGTTTTTAAGTCGTAAGTAATGAGTACAATAAAAATTATTCTCCCTGTCATCTTCCTCTTCTGATAGAAGGTAACTTGTGGGTCAACAAGCATTTAAGATTTTTCCGTTTTTATTTACAGTCACCGTAAGATAGCCCAAGAAAAGCTCGTTACTTTACTGGTTTATGAAAAGATCACTGGTCCTACAAGCAATATAAGCAAATAAGTCGGTTATCGAACTAGATAATTCAATTTCTGTCATAGTAAACAGACCGATCACACAGATTCATTGCAATTCAAGAATGTGTTATTTTAAAAATGCAACAAATCATAAATTTGCTTCTACATAATTTGTATTATCATACTTTACTATCCTTTTATTATTATTTTTCAGATGGTTTAAAATTAACTATGAGTACATATTACCTTATTCGGTCTCTACGACAATTTATTCAAAGTGTCCATCTATTAAATTGTTCCGAGTTAGATTTAACTTTAATATCGTGTTTCGTACAAACATTAAATTCAGAACTTGATTGTTTTGAACGTGTTTCACCTATTGATATTTCTGATCCGGCTAGAGTAAGTAATCTACGACATTCGAGTTTAATTTGTTTACTTGATCTATTTGTTTTGTTAAACCAAAGCTAAGATTTGGTTGATCAACTTAATTTTGTTACAATATACGTGGTGAGTATTTGTTTAAAATATCTGAATTATTGATAGAAAAACTTTTCATAAACAAATATTAGATGACATAATGACTGTTTAGCAAAGTAAATTGTATTTATATAAAGGAATTCTACACATGTGTACAGAATATTTAATAGAAAAATAGTTTACTGGATGGGATGGGTGGAAAGTTTGTTGAGATTGTTGGATTTTCCAGCTGACATCACGAACTGCTCTTAGATAATCAAACTGAAAAGCACTGGACATCTATTTCATCCTAGTGTAATTGTTCGATACCGCAAAATGATTTAAGCTATTAACTGCCGTCACAGCTGTTTAACTGTTAGGCGCTCGTTGCGAAACTTGATAGTCTTGTCCTTAATCCCCGATCGGATCATGGATACCCGAAACAATTGTCCGGTGTTTCTTGGTTTTCAATGGTTTTTTTACTAAGATCAGTTCGTGGTGTACAGTAGAAAGATGGATTTAAGGATTTATGTAGAATATAAGTGATTGTCGAATTCCGATTTTGTAGGTCATTTATCAATCGAGTAAAACTATGGCCTAACTACCAGATTCATGTATTGCTTACTATATCAATAGTGTAAGTGATATATATATACCTGATTTAGTCACATGAGAATCAGTTTAGATGTCAATTAGTAGTCTCATTGTCAACAGAAGTTTGGGTCGCTTATGCATTAGAAAATCACTTGAGCAGTGTTAGTTGAAAAAAATTTTGTTCATTGACCCTTATAGGAAAAACCATAACAATTTTGTTCATGAAATTACATGTTCATCACTTTTGTTTGGTTAATTTTCATTTCATGATTTGCGTACATTTCCTTGTACACATTTTGTTTTGTTTTTCTATTTTAGCAATCTATCATTATAATCAATTTAGAATTTTTAATCAAGACCATTGTGCCCAAATTTGGTAATATTTTAAATTGTTCCGAAAATTCAACTATCCAACAACTGGTCTCCAGTTTGAAAACGTCACTTCAAAATATTAAAGGTTTAGAAGAGGAAGAAACAGTGGTGGTGACGACGGCGGCGAAAAAATCGAATGTTGTTGTTGACGAAGAAGGAGGTGATGTTATATAAACCTTTTTTTCTCGTTGAGCAAGGCAATGGAAGGGATTCCTTTCCTCTATTTTATTTTCTCTTTTTTTAATTAAACTCTTATTTTGGTATGTTTTAATAGTTTGACAGCTGTGTCTTGTTTTATTGATATTTTCAATTTTATTTATTTGAAATAAACATTTGTTTCTCCATTGTGATAATAATGATCAACACTTAAAATCATTGTTTTCAATTTAACCGCTCTGTGTATTTTTGATTGAACGTATTAGATTACTACCTGGAGCATGATGGAATTATATTGACCACTAACTAGTAACCAGCGTCATATTTGTTTGGTCTTTCAGTTCTAATTGATTTCTATCAATCTAGTCGCAATATGTCCACTACTCCAAGTAGTTCGGCATTTTGTGGACTACATAGAGTTGTTATTTAGTTGAAAGAAGTTGATAAGAAATGCCTGACGTATGTTTCGTTCTACCTGGCGCCTGTGGACAAGGCTTACTTGTAATCTTCAAACGACTGATCTCTACAGGGTTCCAGTTTGTATTACTCAGCTTCACATGAGAAATCTAAAATTAACAGTAAGGGATCAATATGTAACATTTTGTCAAATTAATCATAGTGAAACACAGTTATGGAACACTTCTTGAATAAAGAAATACAAGTTGTAAGATAATCAGTCCTTGATGATTACGATTCCTCTTAAACTCAATTCATCGATTTCAATGTGGTCTTACAAAGATTTCCCATTAGTCATTGATACTACATCGCCTTCACAGATATGCTTAGTAAAAATTATAATCCTGTTTTTATATTAAATTCATGAATTTCAACGAATCTCGAGTGAATATTTCGAAGTGACTTCTTCAAGATTCATTTTACGTAGAAAGTAAACACTGATATTCTATTCGTATATTGTCAAATCATCAAGACCAAAGTGTTTTTCTAACAATCCCATAAAGTACATGTTAACATGAATTATCATGAACAAAGATATTCTGATTTTTATTGCTGACTAACTCCATTATGTGTTGCGTAAACAAATGTTTGTTGTGATGCTTTCATCTTACACAATAATCAAAGAATTAACATGCAAAGGTGTAAGTTTCTTTGGCTAAGAAAACTTTGGGAGTTAATGTTTGTAGAAAGGTTACTGACTTGTAAAAATTACATGATAGGACTTATTACTGGTTAATGTTAATTGCAGTCGCTTGTGAAAAGACGTTTTATTAATCATTTTAAATAGGGATTTCTTCATAGCACTTTTTATAAACCTAATTATCTTTGAAATTCCCACGTATAACTACTACCTTTAACTACGTAAATTTTCTATCTGTTTGTTGATGGACCAGCCAGTTAGTGTATGATACAAGCTGAAGTCATTTACCAAATTGAAAGAATAATGATTCAAAATCATATAGTTTGTGTGTATAAAATTTGCTTTATTTAAAGCACATAAATTCTATTACAGCTTGTCACTAAACCAAGAATGCTTCACACAATTAATAATATTGAGGATAAATAAGTGTGAACTATACTACAAATGATTAGGAAATAAATAGAAATAATATTTGGTAAGAAGTACAGCCAAGAGCTAATCATTTTCGCCAATGAAGCTCATCTCATTGTTATAACATACTACAGTAACTTTGCGACTTACCTCTGTTCTGAGCGATATTTGATAATGGTGCACAATTAGGAAGTCATGATGAAGCGACAAATTCCAAATCTACATAGTTATTTTCCATATCATGGCGTCATTTCATAAACATACTAGCTCATTTCTCTTTCCATCCACTTCCAGCGTCTTCAAATAATGCGCAATGTGGAAATCACTTGGACGATATTTATAGCATGACCAAACCACCAAAAGTCCATTTTTCGCAATCGTGTCGCTTGTTAAGATATCCGTAATAATATTATGGTATTTTAATCAGTTTATGTGTATATAATCTACGATATTAAACCACACTGAAATTTTCTTAGGTTTAAACCACGCTCTTGATTTAGCTTATATATTGATGCTTAGTGAATGAAAACACTGGCCTAATCTATGTAACGACCAATTAGTCGAGTGAGTTGGTATAGTAGCAGCCAAGAGATTGCATAAAATGACATGGATGAACTATAAATAGTGCTACGTTCTCTTGTTCCTTGTCTTAAACTGGATAGAGGGTGTCAGTTTTAGGTATATAACAGAAATTCTTTATTCCAACATTCTTGGAATTATTTTTGTTCGATAATCATGGCTTTTTGTATATGAATATTAATTAGCTTAAAAAATGTTAGCTTGCTGTACTAATCAGATCATGCAACATTATGGATCACAATCTAGCGTGAAAAAAGTCTACTTCATCACAATTGGCTGCCCAAAAATCAAAGTAATTTGAGAATTGTTCTCGAAATATGAATATTTTAGGTTGTAATATTAAACTATGCTTAGAAATAGGCAGAAGCTAAAACATATTAATTAAACTAGCTACTTTAGTATCGAACGTTTTTCCCATCAGTTTAATTGTAAAGTGACATGAAACTTCAGATTTATGAACTAGTAACGTTATGCTTAGACAAAAAGATTTACTTTGGAATTTTTAAACAACACACTAAAAAGCCTACAAACAGATGATTTGTACGTTTTCAAAAGAGAAGTAAATTATAAACTAGTGTACACTTTATGGAGTTTGTAAATCTAAGTTGTCTAACTTGAGTCAGTTCGTGATCTCAGTAAAATTCAACAATTTCCATGACCCTTCTTAGTGATGGCATCTGAATAATCCAAACTGTCATCAGTATTGTGTATGAAGATGACGTCATACTGAAGCAACGGACATCACCGATCCGAGGTTTTGTAACCAGAAGGCGATAATGATAGAAAGGAGAAATATTTCTGATCTTGGGCAGATAGATAGGCTTGAGACTACTAGGGTGATTATTTAGATGGGAGGAGAATCTTTCATGAAGTGTGCCGGTTAATTGGTGAGGATGTTTGATCGTGCATCGTCAACCAGTAATGTCCGTTGGAACGAACAAGGTTAATATCACTGGTGAATACATACTAAGCTATTTATTTCGTCATATTTTTTCTGTTACATTTATGCTTCAGTCTCTAACCGGTGACAATTTTTCTTAACTGTTCATTCATTCCAACGTATTGAACAAATAGGTTTTCTTTCAAGTTCTCATATAAATTCATTTCAAACAACTATTTCCAATCGATATTTATTTAAATAATAATATTAATCATTCGTTAGTGTTTAGTGGAATGGCGCAATTCCCATCTCTATTTCACCTACTCGGTGAACAACCTAAGTAATGTTATATTTTAAATTCTGTACTGATTGCTATTACTCATTAACATTCGTAATTGTAACATCTCTCTAAAATTTATTTGAGGTGTGTTCATTCTTATCTAATGATCCTAGTGTCGAAGTTTCATTTCGTACACCCTTGGAAATTTTATCTGTTCGTTGTACGTCTTTGGGGTTTATTTATTTTGTCTACGGATTGTTAGAGAATTTCCTGCACATAATTCATCTAGTCCTGCTAACTAACGCTCTGATTTGAAATTCGGTCTATTACTGTAGTGTACTTCAAAAATATAATTGTTATTTTCTTTGGCCCGTCAAATATCACATAACAAATTTGCTAACCAGAATACTGACTTTAATGATCTTTTGTAATGATGCATCAGAACAGCACTGGCAGCATTGAGTCAACTCTGCATTTTCACTGGTCCACTGTATATTATTTTCTCACCTAGTCTAGTCTAGACCATAAATATCGTATTCGTCAGATATACTTGTTTTATATATGAGCAACCCACAACACATTAAACCATATTAGTTATACAATATCAAGCTAAAAGCGGTTGTGAATAATCTTCCCAAAATCTTTTTTGTTTGGTATCCCATTGTTAAAACTGGGTAGTTTAATAATGTAACTAGCTTAAGAAAATATCAGAAATTGGTTGGGATCTAGTATATTTGTAGTCAAATTGCACTCCAAGAAATGCACTATTAGACTTGTACATTTTTTATTAGGCCAATAAACTAAATTCCTTTTAATCACGTGATAATATAGTAACTACAGTAAATAGTAGGTTAGTTGTTAAAGCATTTGTATTTCAACTAACAGATCACAGGTTTACAATTCTCTTAAGCTACTCCAGTTTGAACGGCCAAATATATTAACCTGGGTTTTGTAACTGTTTTACACTTATCTATTGTTATGAACATGTTATGTGTTTCAAAGTAACTTCAATTGGTAGCTGAATACTTGCAATACCAGACATTCATGTACTTTTTAAAGTCAAACTTCATCATATCAAGCGCGTAGTGAACTTGAACAGATGAAATCCATTATAACTTGTGTATTCATTTGACTTCAAACACTTCTACAACCAACCAATTAGAAATATTATACAGGTAGCGCAGAAAATCTTGGTATAATTTGTAAGCGCACTGAATAAACCTTTTATTTAATTACCTACATACAATTTATAAATGTGCAATCGATAGCCAATAGAATGACAATGAGCTGATATAACAGAATGTCATTTCATTAGCCAAATACAGTTTAACTGGTTTTGTTAATAAATCAGATTCTATATGCCTCAATTTAAAAAAAAAATCATAATCAGATAAATAAAACCTATTACTTAATATTCGCGAAAAACAACACAGCAATATCATAACTACTCTTCTCAACAAATATGTATAAATAATGGATGTATGCGAAATTCAACGACTGGCTTCAAACTAATCAGAATTGATAATTATACTTATGCATGTATATATACACTGAAACTACATCCACCTCTTGTTTAACTCTCGCTCTCTGTGATAACACGAAACATAACAAAGAGGTTTTTTACAGAGTTTATACTTTCCAGTTGTTAGCATTTTGAACTAAACAAATCCTCAGTGATAAACAGGCTCTCCTATTAGTCATTTTTCGAAATACTGCCAACCTCTGGAATAATAGCGAACCGATCAATTTATACCACCATTTAGAACTTGAAATCACTGCATGATCGACTCGTCCTAGTATGGAACTCCTCAGTAGTTCGCATGCAAAAACCTGCACGCCTAAATCAAACTCAGGTCCTTCGGTCTTGCACAAGAGCACCTAACCTCTATACCATTAAACCAGCATCCAACGGTATTCATACTTAACTTCAATCAACCCACGATATTGCATGATCATATTTATTATCAAGTATCTATTCGAGGAACTTATATGCTAATGGAGATCGACTAATTAGTCTTTTGCATATCAACAGCGAAAATATACGAACCCTTACAAGTCATAAAATATTATACTCAATGAATAATTTAGCGACTGATGGATAATAATGTTTAAAGTTATGATAATTTGGTGAAAATAGAAGCCTTAGGATTCAGATGCATCTAGCTGACGAGTCTTGAATAGGGAGTGGGTGAATACTTGTACCATATTCAACTCTCAGCTTCCATCTAAAATTAAGTGGTATTCAAATAATTCTCTACAAATAAACTACTCTAAAATAATACTTTAACTGAGAATAATCCCTTTTA